CCATAAAAATGAATGACCCCCCCTCCCCAGCTTCAACTGGGTTGTCAACACTACCAGGGAGTTGTGTTTGTTGTGGGCAAGTTGCTTCTCAACTCTCTGAATGATCATTCTCCTTTCTTCAAACTCCTCACCACCTCTTCTTCATTCTCAGCAGAAGACCTTGCCGCCCACTTTGCAGAAAAAAATAGAAGCTGAAGATGAAATCTCCCTTAGCATCCCACTGCAAACCTACATCTACATCTGCAGATTCCCTCTTTTGGTTCTGCAGAAGTCATCTCTCCTCCTCTCCAAGACCAATTCTCCACCTACACGCCTGATCCCATCCCCTCACATATGCTGGTGAAGATATCTCCCCTGTTTCTTACACCCTTGATTAATCTCCCCTTGATCTGCCATCAGTTTTAAACAAACTCAGGTCTCTTCCACCTTAAAACACACCACCCTCTAAGATACACATTGACCACATCATCTCTCTCCTCCCCTTCACACAAACACACACCACACATGCAAACAAAAAACCCACTGCCTCCTTCATTTCTCCTCCACTCATCAGACCACTGCCATGTGACTCTCACTTCCAACACGCCACAGAAATAACATTCACTCTCTAAGGTCCCCAGTGGAGTCCCTGGGTGGTACAAGTGGTTTACAAGCTTGACTGCTAACCAAATGGTTGGTGGTTCAAGTGTATCCAAAGGTCATTGGAAGAAAGGTCTGGTGATGTACTCCAAAAAAATCAGCCATTGAAGCCCTATGGAGCACAGTTCTACTCTGAAATACCTGGGGTCACAATGAGTAGGAATCAACTCATCCGCAACTCATTCTAAGCTCACCAGCAATCTCCATGCCTATATTTTCTCCAGCCGTGGTATTTTCAAAAGCATCATATGCATGTGAAATCTGGACAATGAATAAGGGAGACTGCAGAAGAATTGATGCATTTGAGTTGTGGTGTTGGCGAAGAATACTGAAAATACCATGGACTGCCAGAAGAACAAACAAATCTGTGTTGGAAGAAGTACAGCTGGAATGCTCCTTAGAAGCAAGAATAGCCAGACTTCATCTCACATACTTTGGCCATGTTGTCAGAAGAGACCAATCCCTGAAGAAGGAGATCATGCTTGGTAAAGTAGAGGGTTAGCAGAAAGGGGAAACACTGTCAACAAGATAGACTGACACAGTGGCTGCAGCGATGGGCTCAAGCCTAGCAAAGACTGTGAGGATAGTGCAGAACCAGGCAGTGTTTTGTTCTGTTGTATATGGGATTAACATGAGTTGGAGCCACTCAATGGCACCTAATAACAACACAACAGCAATTTCCACGCCTGTCATGAAATTGAGGCCCATTGCCCATTTCCCACCATTGGTTCATCCTACTCTCGTCTCTCTGGGCACTCATTCTCAGTCTTTACAGACATACCCCCTTTTCATTGCTGTAGCTGTAGCTCCCAAATTGGTCCCTGACTTACAGTGACCCCCAGGCACAACAAAAGGACATGCTGCCCAGTTCTGTGCCATGAACAGTTGCAGATCAAACCATCATGATCCATAGGGTTTTCATTTGCCAACTTTTGCAAGTAGATTGCCAGGCCATTATTCCTTGTCCATCTTTAGTCTGGAAGTTTTGCTGAAACCTGTTTACCATCTTAGCAACACACAAGTGCATGAGGTACATTCGCTGAGAATCAAACCTAGCTCTCCCACATGAAGGCAAGAGAATTCTACCACTCAACCCCTAACATAACCCCATAAACCAAAAACAAACCAAACTCACTGCCATTGAGTCGATTCTAACTCACAGTGACTCCCTTTGGGTTTCCAAGGCAGTAGATCTTTACAGAAGTAGATTGCTCAGTCTTCCTTCCACAGAGTGGCTGGTGGGTTTGAACCACCAACCTTCTGGTTAGCAGTCAAATGCCTTAGGCACTATGCCACCAGAACTCCTTAACATGACCCCCTATCTTTCTTTATGCAGACCTAACCTCTGGGCATGCCTCAAAGCTCTGCTTTCTCTACTCTCTCCACCTCATCTCCCCAAACAATTTTGGCCTCATCCACAACCTCGATTTTCTTCTCTCTGTGGACAGCTTCCACCTTCCTCTCTAGCCCAGACCTCCACACTGAGTCCAAAGCCAGGTTTCCACATGCCTACTTAGCGTCTACACTTGGTGTCTCAATGGTATTTCAAGCTCAACATGTGTAAAGTGGAACTTACACTTTTTGCCTCCTCCTTCACTACCTCCTCTCCTCACTCAACCTTCTCATTCCAGTCCTGTTCCAGATTTTGCTGTCTCAGGGAAAATTATTGTCCACCTGTTTGCACAGAAACCTCAGAGTCTGTTCTGACTCCCTTTCTTTCACCCTCCCATTCCAGCACATCTCTATGATGATTTTACTTCTTAAATAACTCTAGGAACCTTCCATTGCTCTCCAACTCCACTGTCATTCTCCCCATCCATCACTTTGGCCATGATTATATCCCCTCTGGAGGCCTTCCTGCACTTCTAACCCTAACTGGTCTTCCCACATCTACTCAGACACTCCCTACTCAACTCTCTACTCAGCATTCACACTGGTCACCTTTAATGTGGCTGATCCTTAATGTGGAGCCTGCCCTCTGTCCACTTTTTTACTCCCCAACCTACAAAGGCTTTCTCTCACCTCTCCTCTAAGCTGTACCTCCTACCGCAGACCCTTTGCATAGCATCTTCCCTCTGCCCAGGATTCTTCCCCCTACCCTACCCTAGATGTATTTCAGATTTCCTCACAAACACCATTTTCTCAGGGAACTCTTCCCTAAGCCCCAAGAAAAAGTAGATCATTCCTTCCTGTTAAATGCTTTCACAATAATAGCTAACATACACATAGCACTTATTGGTAGGAGATCTTCTAAGCATTTCTGCATAGTGTTCATTTACTTCTCATGACAGCCTTATGAGGTAGAAATGACAATTATGTCCAGCTTATAGATGAAGAAACTGAGTCACAGAGAAGTTGTATCACTTGCCCAAGGTCACCTAGTTAAGAAGAGTCAAAGCCAGAATTTGAACCCAGGAGGTGTGATTCCCATGTAGCTTTTAAACACTATACTTGTAATGTCTAAAGCATTTGACTGCTAACCAGAAGGCTGGTGGTTCAAACCCACCAGCCACTCCTCAGAAGGAAGGTTGGGCAATCTACTTCCAAAACGGTATCGCCTCAGAAACCCAAGGAGGGGTCGCTATGAGTCAGGTCCGCCTTGATGGCACATAACAACAACAACAACAATTCCATAAGAAAATATTATCTTTTTTTTTTCTTGCACTTACCACTGTTTAATACAGTGTATTTATATGATTATTTATTTAAAATGCATTACCCTCATTAGACTGCATGTAGGGGTCGAGACTGTTTCACCCCTAACAGCAGGTGCTCATCAAATATTTGTTAAATGGCTGAAAGTAGATTAGTCTTCTCCCTCTTCCTCACTCACCACAACCAATCAGTTACCTGGTCTTGCTCATGTTTTTTGGGGTTTTTTTTCCTGGAGCAGGGTTTCCTAACCCTACGAAGTTCGGATATGTGCTTATCTGTGTCCTGAAATTTGGTGGGAAATGTGGTGTGTCTGCACACATTAAAATTTTCTAGAGCAAGGGCAGTGGTTCATGCTGTCATCAAAGGGGCACAAGAGATTAAAACCAGCTGACTCAAATATTCCCCAGCTTAGTTCATCCTCTGACAACCACCCCTCAATTCAACAGCCTCACATCTAGTTTTGCACCCCACTAGTCCATTCTCCAGGAGCTCTGGTAGCATAGTGGCTAAGACACTTGCCTGCTAACCAGACGGCTGGCGGTTCAAACCCACCAGCCACTCCTCGGAAGGAAGGTTGGGCAATCCTACTTCCGTAGTGATACTGCCTCGGAAACCCAAGGAGGGGTCGCTATGAGTCGGGGCCGACTCGACGGCACATAACAACAACAACAACAGTCCATTCTCCATGCTTTGATTATAGCAATCTTTTCACAACACAAACCCTAGTCATACTCTTGCATAAAACCACTGGAAAGCTGTCTATTGTCCTTGAAACAAAGTTTAAACTCTGCTGAGGGTGGGGAAGGTCTTGTAGGCCCTGTCTACTTCTCCTCATGTAGCCTCAGTTGTTTCCTCTTCCCCACACCTCTGCAGCCCAACAACACAAAACAAGGTTCTGTGCTCTGGGTTCCCAGCCTACACCAGGTGGTTTCTCACGCTTATACTCATGCTCTCTGTTTGAGATGCCAATTCTCAGTACCTAGAAATTCCTACTCCACCATTGTTGTTGTTGTTGTTATGTGCCGTCGAGTCCGCCCCGACTCCACCATTAAGATTCAGTTAAAGGTCTCTTTGGGATTAGATGTCCCTCCTCCGTGCTCCTATAGGCTGTGCCGGTCCCTGACAAGGCATTTAAGGCATTTAACTATAGTTGCTTGGTTACAGACTGGCTCTCTCTTCCAAACAAGCTTTGAGGGCGGCTGCCCTCTAAGTGTTCAGTAAGTGAATGAATGAATAAAACGAATGACAAACAGTGCCTGATCGTTGGCATTCAAAAAATTGTGTGAAAAGAAGAAATGAGCGGGCAACTGTAGGTTCAGGTCTAGAAAAGATACAGACTAAAGCGTTCAGAGATGAATAAAACCCAGTCGCAGCGATCAGAAGCTAATACGGAAGGCAAATCCAAATAAAGAATTTTGAAGAGGAAGTAATTCATATCTTCGCCGGCCCAGGGGGCGAAGCCAAGTTAAATCCCTCCCGTTTCCCCTCCAATGGGAGATCTTGTCGCCCTCTGAGCCTCCTCCCCTTTCACCCACCAGGCCTGCTGCGGCCGCTCAAGAATAAAAGACTACATTTCCCAGAGTGCCGTGCGGCTGTGGCGAAGGAAGAGCCGGAAGTAGGGTACGCGAGGTCTAAGGGCACGAGGGAAGTGGCGGGCGGGGACCCGGGGGGCGTACAGGTGAGCTGACGGGCCCGGGGTCGCGGGCATGGCCGAGGCCCGGAAGCGGCGGGAGCTGCTTCCCTTAATCTACCAGCATCTTCTGCAAGCCGGCTATGTTCGCGCAGCGCGGGAAGTGAAGGAGCAGAGCGGCCAGGTGAGCATGGGAGTACCCTGTACGAGGCCCGCGTGGAAGATCCGAAGAGCAGCGGCCTGTGCCCCCTCCTCGGGCGACCTGACGAGTGCCCAGGGCCGAATTCTACTGTGCTCAGGGGTGCGAGCTGGGGGAGCCTGAGTAGCTAAATTTTTAACCCTCGCTGCAAGCTCCAGTCTCTCTGGGCCTCAGTTTCCCCATCTGTGCAGTGGGCGGGCCGGGATATTTGATACGACGCGCAGGGCTTTTGTAATTCCCGCTCCCGTCACCTCCGCTGGCTTACTGGGAGCGGCAGTTTAAAGTTTTTTAAGTCGCCGACCACGTGGCTCCGCGCGGCCCCCTGGGGCAAGGAGGTTACCAAGGGTTTGAGGGGTAGATTGTGACCAGCTCCGGGAGACACCGCCAAGAGAAGGGGCTCTTTACTTGAGCTGGAACTCAGATCTTTAGAGACCCTCTGTACCGAGTTGGACAATTTTGGAATTAGAACTCGTGGTGCAGTCTTTCTTTACTTCATTCATTCAGCAACTGTTAATCTGGAACTTCGGGTGCTAGTGATAGAATGGTGATCTTGGTCCCCGGCCCTCATGGAGCTTACAGTCTAGTACCGAAGCAAGACATCACAAAAGTAACTGTGAACTTAACGAAAGTCCAAAGGAGAGGTACAGAGTGCTAAAAAGTGTATGGTAGATTGCCCTGGTCACAATCGATATCTGAGACTGCTTCCCTGAGGAAGTGACTGTTGGTTTGAGATCTGAAGGCAAAAAGTGGGTATTCCAGGCAGAGGTGCAAATGCCCTGTGGTAGAAGGGAGTTTGTTCTTGTACATACTGGCCTCAGGAAAGGTCCCTGTGGTTGAAGCATGGAGGACCAGGGCAATAAAGGTCCCTAAGGAGACTGAAAAGGGAGGCAGGAACTGGCCCAAGCAGGTCTTATGTTTAGTTTGGTCTTAAGCTGAAAAAGGAAACTCTGGTGGTGTAATGTTTAAAGCATTCAGCTGCTAACCAAAAGGTCCACAGTTCAAACCCACCAGCTGCTCCACTGGAGAAAGATGAGGCAGTCTGCATTCATAAAGATTTACAGGCTTGGACACCCTGTGGGGGTCGCTATGAGTTGGAATTGATGTCAGTAGGTTAAGCTGAAAAGCAGTGAGAAGCCCTTGGAAGGTTTTAAACTGGTGATTGAGAGAGCCTGATCTCAAGAGTATCAGTATCTCAGAGCCTCCTGAAGGGATCAAAGGTGATGGGCTCTGAGATGTTCTCTCTGCTTTTCTGTATCCACCCTGGGCCTTGGAGCATACACCTAGCAAAAGTGCCCTGCCCTCATGGAATATGCATTCTAGCATATTAATATATATATAGCAAATATATATATATAATATAGCAAATATAAAAGGTAAGTTGGTAGTATAGTGTGTCATGTGATGATAGGTGCTGCCTCTAAAAATTATCCAGCAAGGGGTATTAAGGAGTGTCAGGGGTACAGTTATAAGTAAGCTAGTCAAGAAAGCCTCACTGAAAAGGTGATGTTTTGCACAGAGAACTAAAGGAAATGAGGAAGTGAGCTAGCTATATGGTTGTTGGTGGTGGTTGTATGCCATCCAGTTGGACCCAACTCATAGCGACCCCTCCTTGGGTTTCCGAGGCAGTATCACTACAGAAGTAGATTGCCCCATCTTCCTTCCGAGGAGTGGCTGATGGATTTGAACCACCAGCCTTCTGGTTAGCAGTCAAGTGCCTTAGGCATTATGCTACCAGTTAGCAGGAGAGAAAGTATTCCAGATAGACCCTGGTGGGGGTACAGTAGGGGGTGACCCAACACATTCGAGGGATAGTGAGGAGTCTGGCATGCTTGGGTGGAAGTAGAGTGAGGCTAGTACTTGGTATCTCAACATTGTGGAAGAAATCTGAAGTTTAAAAAAGTTAGCCCAGAGTTACCTAGCCAGTTAACAGAAGAGCTTTGTCTCAAACACAGGCCTACCTGACTCCGAACGAACGAACCAACCAAACTCATTGCCATGAGTCAGTTCCAAATAATAGCGACCCCTCCTTGGGTTTCCCAGGTGGTATCTCTACTGAAGTAAATTGCCCAGGTGCACACTATTGGCCACTTGCCTAACTCCCTGACCTCTGTGCCCTCACCCTATACTGTTCACTCCAGCTCTTTGGTGTACTTGAAACAAACTCAAGATGCTTGGCATTTCCAGAGAGAGTTGGGCTTTTGGCTTCAACTTGTAAAGGCCTATATTCTGCCTGGTGTTCTCTGCTTCCACCAAGAGAACATTCCTCCAAATGGAGCCAGTTTCTTCCTAGTGAATCAGTAAGCTGCAGTTGTGCCACCAGAATGCCTTGAGTGTCTGGACTGTGCTTCATACTGTCCTGGAGAAATCCACCAGCCAAATCTTTGAAAGGTCAGGGGTGGTAAAAGCCCCATCTTGTGGCCTCTGAGGGTGAGGCGTACCTGAGAGGTCTGGAGCTGAGTAAATGCTAACTTAGAGCATTCCAACTCCAGCTTCTCAAGGGTGCCTCTCACCAACCTGTCTTGAAAGGTTTTAGCTGGAATTGCCTGCTGTGATTTTTCCTGGCAGAACTAAGCAGGCATGTTTCCCAGAGCAAAAAAGACCCTCTTCTCAACCACCTGTCTGTGCATGTCCTGATATTGAGGAAGGCCCTCCCTGTGCTGAGGAGTTAATTGCTGCTTTCCCTTTATTTGTCTGCAGAAAAGTTTCCCAACTCAGCCGGTAACCCTTCTGGACATCTACACGCACTGGCAACAGTGAGTCTTGGTGGGACTGGGGGGGATGGAGTAAGGACACTCCAGTCAATCAGTTTAGAATAAGGTAGGATGCTAGCTTGGTCTAAGATGTGTCCCCAAGCTTACAGTGTATGTGGCCCCCAGAAAACTAGGTCACATGGATGAGTGTTTCTGGGCGAGAGTGTCTGGATGTGGGAGGGGACTTTGAGAACCGTGACCTCTTAATCAAATGAATGATCAATATTTCTTGAGCACTTACTGAATGCTAGGCTCTATTTTATGTATGAAGATACTGTGATGAGAGACACACGTGGCTCCTTCTTTCCTGGAGCTGACATTGTAGTCAGGCCAGCAAACACGAGTCAGAGAATGAAGCATAAAATTGCAGTGGTTGTAAGGATTACAGAGGGGAGTTACGTGGTGCCAAACCACATACATGGGTCAGCCTAGCCTTGTTTGGGGGTTTGGGAAGGTCTCTGAGGTGACCATTGACTTGAGAGCTAAAGGAAGTGGAGGAATGAACTAGGCAGTAGGTGTGGAGAGGTGCAAGGGGTGCACCTGGTAGTGGGAACTACACTGCCATTCACCACCTGTGGCTGGGGAACTGTCCAGATGAGGCTAAGGGGTGGCAGGGCACACATGTCAGGCCTGGCTATCCGTGATTGGGGGAGTATTTACCTTAGGAATAGTGGGGAGCCATGGAAGGTGAGGCAGAGAGGGATGTGATTAGATTGGCATTCTGACTACAAAAGACATCCAGACTAGAGCCAGTAGGGCTTGACACAAGGATAACAAAGGGTAGAGAGAAGCAGATAGTGGGTTTGAGCAATACAAGGAGGTGAACCAGGTTCTGTGGATGGATTAGAGAGAAAAGACTCGTAGGTGTCTGGCTTGTGCACCTGAATGGAAAGTGGATCTGTGCAGGGAGCTGGAAGGGAGCCCAATTTGGAGGGAAAAATTTCAAAGGAATGTTGAAGTGCCTGTGAATCATGTACAACTTTTCAGGGAAGAGGACATGGGGACAGCATCTCCTGGCCTTGTCTAACTTCACAAAAGGAAGACAGAATCACCATCAACAGCCCAAGGCTAATTCCTATGAGGCCATACATGCCGCCACCCTTTGGCCTTTTACCAAGTCTGACACCAACCATCCCTCCCATGGCACTCACTAATTTTCTGCTGGGTTTGAAAATTCATTGCAATGGCCACACAGAACTCACAATTATGGTGTTTATTAGGGAAATAACAGGCTACAATTCAGATTCAGGCACCCTCTCAGGATACAATTCTTCCATCAAGATAATCTCCCCTCTGCTATGTCCCTCAGACGTACCTCTCTGGCCCTTGGTCTCTTGGCCTAGCCTCTGCCCTGCTTGGGCAAATATTACAAAAGCTCTTTTAGCTCTGCCAATAGGTACACCTAGGTGCACCCCACTCAGCCACCAAGACTCCTGCCCGGAGGCACTCAGCTTTCTCACCCTGTGGGCCAGGTAAGCCCACCATTCTGCCTGGTGCCTCTTGGTTTCTCAACTGGGTTGTCTTTGCCAAGGAGGTCCAGCACAGGATCTCAGGTCCAAGGATGCATTCCACTTCACCTCCAACTCTTCTCTTGATGGCAGTGAGATCCCCCTCTCTGTCTCTAAGAAGGCATCTTTTGAGTCTGCAAGAGGGACAAAACTAACCAATCCCAGTGTCAAGTTCTACACACTTTATTTGTGTGGTCCCACCCAGTAATCTTATGGGAGTTACAAAGACTATGGCTAGAAAAGCTATACCAAGTAGTTTACTGGCATTGCAGGGGTAACCCAGGAGTGTGTCAGTAGAGGAAAGATTTGAGAACGAAGGAGAAGATGGTAAATATTCTCTCCCATGGACTGGCCTGACCACAGCTGACTGAATGAAAGGCTTGTCATGTCTCATGAGGAATAAGAGAGAATATTGAACTGTCCACGATGGGAAAGAGATGGCAAAGGGATGAGGGGGGCCACTGTCTGCACTTGGAGGATGAAGGGAGCGGTGCATGGTCTGGGGCCCCAGCAGGCAGAAGTGAGACCCGCATGTGCCTGCTGTAGGAAGATAGGTTTCAGCCCCTAAAATATAAGCACTAGGTCATCACAGCAATACTGAAGTGAGGTAGGCTGTAGTGGGATTGATGAGTCCCTGTTATCAAGGGTGTGTAAGCAAAGATGAGAATAGTGTGGAAGGGGTTCCAATCTCCAGTGGAAAGCTAAGGTCAGCAAAAAACCTGCCAGCCCTCAGGTTCTTGGTTCTCTTCTGCTGCTAAATCAAGCTTGAAGCACGGGGCATACCTGGCACTTCCTCTCCCTTGCCCTCTCCCACTCACAGCACTTCCTTTCTCAGAGAGATGCTTTAGCAAGCTGCACCCCACATTGTCATTGCCATTAGCAAGAACCCTACACCCACAAGAGGATGTCTAGTCTAGTGATTCCCAGCAAGGTTCAAACCCAGCAACTACCTTCTTGCTCCCTGTGAATCGTATCTTCATCTGCCCTATAAGAATAATAGTAATTATCTCTGCATTGAGAGGATTAAATGCCTAGTACGAGCCAGGCACTGTTCTAGAAGATGAGGACATAAATGGGAACAAACCAGAGAAAAATCCTTGTCCTCGTGGAACCCATTCTACTGGGTGAAGGGGAAGAAGCAGAATAAATTAATATATGTAATAAATGGAACCTGTTTTTAGCAGGAAATTCCTGGCAAGTGGCCTTCCTGGAAATAAGGGACCCAGGCAGCACGTCCCAAACTGGCGAAGCATTGCCTACTCTAGCCAGAAAACACAGGGCAGGTGGTGACCCTCAGATTGGGGGTGAGGGGACATGATGCTGGAAAGTTCAAGGGACTCAGTCTAGGGCTTATCCCACTGATCCCCCAAACTTGCTCTGACCCTTTATTGTTCATTTTTTAAGATGTGTGCTAGGCACTGAGAATAGAAAAGGTTTTATCTAGCTAGCCTTCCTGCTTTTCTCCCCAGGCCTCACTGGGTAGTTGGGGAGTCCCACAGGAAGTAACTGAAATAGCATGAGATAAAAGTGCTCTGAAGAAAATGAAACAGGGTGCTTGGGTAGAGACTGAGTTGGGGGAAGTTTGATCATGGAGGGGCTCTGAGGAGCCTGTCTTGGGGTTGAGGCTTCCAGGAAGGGGTACAGCCTGTGCAGCAAGTCCTGGAGAAGAAAGGGCCCTGGCTCACAGTACACTCACTCACTGTTGGCTTACAGTGAAACCTGTGAGAGTTGGAATGCAATGGACCTGCCTCGTTTTTCTAGATCTCTCAAGTTCCCTGCCTTTGGCAGGATGCAATCTTAGGCTTTTCCCTCCTTTTAGTGGAAAATATCTGAGTTTTCCTTCTCTGACAGGCTTCTGCCTTATACAGGTTCTGGTTTCAAAGGTTTTACTGTATGTATTGTGTAACATTATCAACCATTCATGATTATTTTGAAGACTTACAGAGGATTTTAAAAACACTTGATGAAGTGAGTGAAAATGCAGAATACAAAATTATACCCACACTGTCTTTTCATCGCTATTTGAACTCTCTCTGTGCTTGTTTCCTTTGTTGGGTGGGAGGATGTGGGAAGATCTTCCTTTTCAGATCCCCTGGAGTAGTCATGTCACCCAGTTGGTACAACCAGTTAGTTACCCTTGTCCTGCAGAACCTCAGAGGTCGGCCGAAAGCGGAAAGCAGAGGATGATGCAGCACTGCAGGCCAAGAAGACCCGCGTGTCAGACCCCATTAGCAGCTCTGAGAGCTCAGAAGACGAGGAGGAGGCAGAAACCGAGACTGCCAGTGCCAGGAAGAGTAAGAGCCATGCATGCTAGTTGCTGCTGGAGGACCGGGCCTCCCAATCAAGTCCCCATTGTTGGTGCTCGTAGGTGCTCAGCTTAGGGTCTTGCACCTTTTGGGAGCATACTATGAGATAAGGTTAGATTGTTCCAGGAGTGAGTCCCCTCCAGCTGCTTCTCCAGTGAGCCCTGAGAGGCCCAGGACCTTTTGGGGAAAGACTGGGAAGGCCTCACATTGTGTCTGTTTATTCCAGTATGTGTTTGGGCTATGGAGCCAGTGGTGAGCAAAACCAGATAGACCCTCACAGTCTAGATTGATGTACTTCCACTGGGGCCCAGGAGCTGCATTGTTACAAGTTCCCATGTGTTCTGATAAAGGTGGAAGGAATCATATTTTCAGAAGTACTAGTAGAGAGATGTCAGAGGATGGCTGGTGAACACCTCTTCTCTGTGGGCTGCTTTGAGAGTTGCTAATCTTCCTGGTTGTTTTGAAGTGTAGAAGTTAGTACCCAGGCTGTACTGAGCACTCAGATATTAGAGTTGGCAGGGATAACCCAGTGAAAGCCTCTACAGCCCCCTCACCCCAATTCCCACAGGTCCTTGTCCTTTATCTAAGAGCAGTCATGACTCCAGAGTTGGTCTCTTCTCTGAGTTGTGTTTTTAATTTTTATTTACATAGAAGACCGTTTCTGAATTTTAAAATACGTTTTTGGATTATGAAAGACTATAGAATTCATTGGAGTCCCTAGGTGCTGCCTACTAAAAGGTTGGAGGTTCATATCCACCCAGAGGCCCCTCAGAAGAAAGACCTGGCAGTCTGCTTCCAAAAAACAAAGTGTTGAAAACTCTATGGAGCACAGTTCTATTCTGACACACAGGAGGTCACCATGAGTTAGAATTGACTCACAGCAACTGGTAACAGAATTCATTATAGAATATTTTTAAAGTACTTTGTTAAAAGACCAGAAAAAAGGAAAAATTACCCATATTCTTGACACCTACAATTTGGCAAATTAGTCTTCCATGTATTATCCTGAGCGTGTTTTTAAAAATATTTCAGATTGTGCTAGATATATATTTCATGCAAAACAAGTATAGAAACTTAGGACTTAGGACAGTAAAAAAAAGTACACAGAAGGAAAATTGAAGGTTTTCTGTTCTTTTGCCCCACTCCCCTTTCACTCCTGGTGGAGAGCCTTTGCATCCACAGTAATACACGTATCCATCCATGCATAACTTTTAAACAAAAATTGTAAAATTTTAAACTGAGTAGTGTATTTAACATTAATGAATTTCTTAAACTTATGATAATGATATTATTGTTACATATTTTTGAAAGGAGTCCTTGTTGAGAAAAACATGCTGAAATATTCGTGGGCAACATGATAGGATGTCTGTCATTTTCTTCAAAATAATACGTATTGGAGAGAGGTGGGTGATAGGGTAGATGGAATAAGATTGGCCGTAAGTTGATCATGGTTAAAGCAGCGTGGTTCAGTTTACTTTTTCTGTACTTATGAATGTGTTTAAATTTTTCAATAATTGAAAAAGAGAGAGCGAGATGGGTTAAATACCAGGAAAAGAATTGGATCGTTCCATACATCCATTTAACAGCATATTTAACAGCACACCTTTGAAGTCTTCCCTTTTTGAGATCTAAGGGGACAATATCCTTTTGTAAAAGCACCATGGAATCCATACATCTCCACATCTAACTGGGCCCAGGTCTCATGCTACCTCTCCTATTTAAATTCTGGGCTACTCTCTGGACCCGGGACTGCCGCCTGATCTAATCATTGTCTCTAGCTTTCTGAGTTACTTTCAGGACTGTGGAGTAATTATTGTTGTTAGGTGCTGTTAAGTCGGCTCCAACTCATAGTGACACTGTGTACATCAGAACGAAACACTGCCTGTCCTGCACAATCCCCACCAGGTTTGCTGTGCTTGAGCCCATCGTTGCAAACGCTATCAGTCCATCTCATTGAGGGTCTTCCCCGTTTTTGCTGACCCTCTGCTTCACTAAGCATGATATCCTTCTCCGGTAGTCTGTGTGAAAGAAACCCATGAGCTGTGCGGTGCTTTCCTGATCCATAGCAGGATCTGGAACCAATCCTTTTCCTCTTGGGACCTCAATGCCTTATGGCACAAAGGAGTTGGGAATCCAATGGGGAGGCAAGCATGCGGCATTCTTCCTGCTGCTCTCCTCTCTTGCTCCTGGAAGATATGGCTAATGCATCACAGAACTCGTTCCAGTAAGTCTGTGCTCAGCCTCAGACCCTCATCCCAGCACCAGGCAGCCAGTATCAGTCAAACTTAACAGTTGCCATCGAGTCAGTTCTGACTCATGGCAACCACATGTATGTCAAAGTAGATCTGTGCTCCAGGAGATCACCAGGGCTTTTTTTCCAAGGTACGTCTGGGTGGACTCGAAACTCCAACCTTTTAGTTAGCAGCAGGGCATATTAACTATTTGCACCGCCCAGGGACTTCAGTCAAACTGTTAGATGAGATCTGTTTTTATGAGGAAAGCTCTCCTGGCTCATCCAGAAAGTGTTTGTGTCTTACAGCCCCAAGACTAGTGTCTGCCAACCCCTCAGTCATGGGGATGGATTTGCCATCGAGCATGAAAGAACAATCCAAGGTGAGTGGAACTGCCTTCCAAGCTATAGCTTGTGGGAGTTGAAATGCCTTGTAGGGGAAGCCCCTTATGGCAGAGAAGGATAACATTGTGGGTAGTCCCTCAACTGGAATTCAAATCTCAGTCTCTGTGTTACCAGCTGTGTGATCTTGGGTAAATCCCTCTGCTTCTGTGGGCCTGAGTTTCCTCTTGTATAAGATGAGAATGCTGCTAACTGCAGTGGGCCACTGCATATTGAAAAACAAAAAGCCGAATCTGTTGCTGTTGATTCCGACTTACAGGGACCCTATGGACAGAGTAGAACTGCCTCACAGGATTTCCAAGGTTGTTATCTTTACAGAAGCAGAGTGCCACATCTTTCTTCCATGGAGTAGCCAGTGGATTTGAACCACAGACCTTTTAGATAGCAGCCAAGTGCTTAACCACTGTGCCACCAGGGCTCCTTAATGTATAAAAGTCATCAAGAAGTAACGATAAATTCTCAACAAACTGGTACTTACCACATAGCAAGTGACTACTATGTCCCAACAGCTATAATGCAGCTTTCCATAATTCAAAAAGAGAGAGAGAGAGAGATGGGTTAAATACCAGGAAACAAAGCAGAGGAACAATTTGTACGTGTGTGTGTGAGAGAGAGAGAGATTTGGGTGAAAGTTTACCAAGGAAATTCATTTTCCATACAATAGTTCCTACACATTTTGTTTCTTGATGTTGACTGTATATAATCTCCGTAATGCAACAGCTGTCTTCCCACTTCTTCCCTATGGTTACCTTTTCCATGTGTCCTTTCCTGTGCATTCCTGCCCCCTGAGCTATCTCCCTGTGCAAATACTGTCTTTCTGATCTCCCATGGTTGATCATTCTCAGGAATGCACCTACCTGGTATAAATATTCACTTTATATGCTTGTGTATGTTCTGGAAGCCACAAGCAAAGCAATCCAACACAGCGCACTACCATCAAGTCAGACCGACTCATAGCAACCCCTCCTTGGGTTTCCAAGGTGGTATCACTACGGATGTAGATCTCCCAGTCTTCCTTCCAAGGAGTGGCTGGTGGGTTTGAACCACCAGTCTTCTGGTTAGCAGTCATATGTCTTAGGCCACAAGAGTGAGTTCAGTTCCAGGCCTGAAGGGTAACTAGGGGCCATAGTCTTAGGGGTTTTGGAGGGACAGTTTTTGAGATCACTTTAAAGTTGAGGAAATAGACTCATGGAGGCTGAGCAAATTACCCAAACTCATACCTCTGGGCGGTGGTACCAATGTTTTCAGACCCACACAGTCTGCATTCTTTGCCCACTGTGCCATGCTCAGATGTGTGTCACTTTGGTTCTCTGTAGGCAGACACCAGGAAAGCCAGCAAGATGGTGAACTCTATACCACACCCTGCCTCAGGAAAGACAGTGGCCCACCTCCTCTCTGGGAAGTCACCCAAGAAGTTGACAGTGCCCTTGACAGATACCACCTTGGTCTCAGAAACTGAGGAGGAGGGCAGTACCCCAGCTGTCAGAGTCACTGCCAAGCCTGGTGAGAAGCCCCTTCCTCTTTGAACCAAGCCTCCAGGGCTGCAGGGGCAGGTCTAGGTGCTGCTCTATTAAATTCCATAAAATTATGGAATTCAAAGGTTTATCTCTGAGACAGCAAAGGCCCCATGTCTCAGGCGATTTTCCTGTCCTCTAGATGACAGCTGTAGGCTATGCCCAGGGAGTCTGAGCAGCCTGGGTGGGCAATTGGAGCATTTTTGGTTTATCTTCTTCACATGGGTTCAGGGACCACCGTAGAAGCTTAAAGTCTGAAATAAGCATCCTGGTGTTTGCTCTGCCTGCCTCAGTGGACCACAGTGTGGCTGGGGATTTTATAAACAGATGCTTATGTGCATGTGTTGGGAGCTATCATATGAGGGCCCATACCAGGGCCTTGGAGGTATGGGAGCGAGCAGGGATAATGGTGCCCACCTCACATGTGGGACTTAAAGAGAGGGTAGATCTGCAGCTCTGTGCACTGGAGGAGTAAGTGCTTAGCAGCTGGCATGGGGGCATTCTGGGGAGGGGCAGGTGAGTGTTGAAAGGGTGACCTTCAGCCCCCTCCCTGTTCATGCCTCAGGGGTGGTTGATCAAGGCGACAGCTCCAGCGAGGACACCTCCAGCTCAAGCGACGAGACAGATGTGGAGGTAACTGCCCGTCCTCCTCAGGAGATGCCTCTTCAGACCTCTGACCCTCCCTGGACTGTGGCTGGGCCTTCAGAGACCAGATAAATTCAGGAACAATTTGGGCACAACTGGGAGCTAGAGTGGCTGAGGCCTGGGGTGGGAGGGAGCAGCAGATGCTGCTTATTGCATTGAGCGTGAGAAAGTCTAGGGCTCTAGGAGAGAGACGCTGTCTTGCCTGAGAGACTAAGAAAGACTTCCTGGAAGAGGAGCAGTGCAGCAGGGACTGGAAGCACAGTGGGATTCACAAGGGAGAGCTCGGGGAAGGGCGTTCCATGCAGGAAGAACTGCACGAGTCATTCCTCATTTTGCACCTCCCAAGTGCCAGGCCTAGGGAATATAGTATGAGCAAGATGGGTGGATTCCTGCCACCGTGGGCCTGTCTCTGCAATGGTGATGGATGCTGTGGAGGGCAAATAGAGAGGCAATAACATGAGCCTGATAGAGAAGAATAGGTATCACCTGGAAGAGAGGTTACAGGCCAGAAGGGACAGCTTGTGCAGAGACAGAGGCAAAAGAGAGTTTAGTGCTTTTCAGGAGCATTTCTCCCTTGTTAGTGAGCGGGAACATGCTACAGAATAGGACGCCAAGGTAGACCAGGCCCGGATCTGCTGCCTGACCTTGGGGACCACCATAAGTAGTTTGAGTTTTATTCTTGGGGTGTGAGAAGTCTTTGAAGGGCTTCAGGCACAGGGGTAAGATGGCCTAATTTAAATTTCAGAAAGCTTCTGGTTGTGGCCTGGATTGGAAGACTGCAGAATAAAAGCAGTGAGACTGTTCAGGGGTCTGTTGGAGCAATACAGACAGGAGTTCCTGGTGGCCAGGATTAGGGTGCCCCAGTTGCAAAGATATTTTGATGGGAGAACAGCAGGATTCTGGGATGTAATGATCTGGTTCCTAGGGTACTTCCCACCTCTCCAAGTGTACCTGTGAAGGTGGAGCCCTCACCCCATCTGTTCCAAGCCTGGCCAATGCCTGCGTCCCACATTCTGTCCTCACCTTTGGGCTCTAGATATACCCAGCCTTAAGGGCACGCCTGGCTCTTACAACTCCAGGCCCTGTAAAGGGGAAGAGGGCCCCTGAGAAACTAGTTGCTGAACACAGTCTTGTTGGGCCACAGGCCGGCACCAGGCTACCATTGCAGATAGAAATGTGAGATTTAAGGGAACCCAGGGTCAGGTGAAGGTACGTGATGGTGAGGTGGAGGTAGGGACTGACTGCCTCAGAAAAGCAGAATTTTAAAAATCTAAGAAAGCTAAAAGGGGCACGAAAGTTATCTAGAAACAAGCTGAAAGTAAAGGCATTTTCCCAACATAACTCAGGACTGGACTCTTGGCCCTCAGGCCCACGCTCCACAGCTGCCTGTCACCCACCATGACCCACTACTTTAATGTCTTTCTAAAACCAAAAAAAAAAAGCACAAAACTTTTTATTGTGACTTGATTGAGAGTTTACGGAGCAAATAGGTTTTCCATTCAACAATTCATACACGTTTTGTTTTGTGACATTGGTTGTAGTCCCCATAGTATAACAGCACTCTTCCCACTTCCTCCCTGTGTGTACTGTTCCCAGTTGTCCTTCTTTCCTGTCCCTTCCTGCCTTAGGAGCTTTATCCCTGGGCAAATGCTACCCTTTTAATCTTGTATGCTTGATTGTTCTAATGAGTGCATAGGTCCCTGGTGTTACTGTTCTACTTTAATGTTTAAGGGGCAGATGAGGATAAGCTGTCGTGGTTGAGAGAGGTCACCCCTCTGTGCTGGACCCTGTGTGTGCCAAGTGGCAGAAGAACTAGTGGTCAAGAGTTCTGCTCCCAGCACCAGACAGACATGGGTCTACACCATGGCTCTGCCCTTTAGTTTTGACCTTGAATGATTTAACTTCTCTGAGTTCTTGCCCTTTTCTGGCAAATGGGTATACAGATCATTTTGTCTCACAGAATTGTTTGACAATTAAATCTGAGAAAGGGCTTTATAAATTGAAGCATTTTATGTACTGACCAAAAACCAAACTCACTCATTGCCATCAAGTTGATTCTGACTCATAGCAACCTCCTTTGGGTTTCCAAGGTGGTAAATCCTTACAGAAGTAGATTGCCCAGCCTTCCTTCCGAGGAGTGCTGGCTGGTGGGTTTGAACAGCCAGCCTTGTGGTTAGCAAATGCCTTAGGCACTGTGCCACCAGAGCTCCTTTATACACTGAGATAAAGGTTATTATTCACTCCCTATTCCCATCCTCTTATTCCAGGTAAAACCTTCAGTGGAAACCCCTCCTGCCAAAGCCTTGCCAATCAAAGCTTCACCAGTCCTTTCCAAGGATCCTTCAGGGAGAGGGGCAGCCCCAGCCTCTGGAAAGGTGGGGGATGTGACAGCCCAGGTCAGAGGAGGCACCTTACCTCCAGCCAACAAGGCCAAAAAGCCTGAAGAGGAGTCAGAGAGCAGCGAGGAGGAGTCTGAGAGTGATGAGGAGGCCCCTGCAGAAACCCCCAGCCAGGTGAGGCCTAGAGGGCTATCCAGTGGGTCCCTATGGTCTCCCAGCAACCTGGGAGTACTCCCACAGCCCCAGATGCTAGTAGAGTATCTAAGTGATGAGCACCTCCTGCAAGAGAAGACTCAGCCTGGATTTTGGAAAGAGAGAGATGGGAAGGTGAGAAGATTGGATACCTGGGCTAGCTTACTTTAGCCACCTGTGGAATTTTCTATAAAATCTTGGTCTATAAAATGGGTTGGTGATCTCGCCTCAGCTACTCCTGTTGAGAAAGGGCTTTAGAAGCTGTTGTAATTGTGTGGTCCTCTGGCTTTCGGGCCAGAGCAGACCTAGAGCAGGCAGGGAATCCAGTTGCCCTATATCTGCTAGGGCCCACCTCCTATGCCACCAGGGCTGCGGTGGCTAGAGCTGTAGCCCCCAAGGCTATGGGGATGTCCCAGTCAAAGGCCAGAGGGGCTGGAAAGCTGTTGGAACCAGAGAGGAGAGGAGGAAGAACAAGACTGGTAGGTAAAAGGCAGCCCTGTGTTGACCTAGATAAAGCTGGATAGGGAAGGGGTCCTGACTCATACCCAGGCCTGGAGCAGAATGAAATGCAGTAAATAAATACATGAATAAGATGCACTTTATTAGATGTCAGTACATGCTAAAGAGGAAAATTAAGTGGGAAAGGTACATAGGGACGGTGTTTTTGGTTCTCTAGTGCTATTCTGACAGAGAACAACACAAGTAGATGGCTTTAGCAAACAGATTTATTAGAGTTTAGGAGGCTGGAAGTCCGAGTTCAAAGTACCAGCTCTAGGGGCTAGGTGAAGGCCCCTCAAACTTGGACTTCAGCTCTGCCTCTTGCTCCTGGCCCTGAAGCTGGAGGCTTCTCTAAACTCAGGCAGCTGTTGGCTCCTGAGGCTGACAAACCTAAGATGGACAAGTAAAATGGCACAGTTCCAAAATTATCAAGCAACATGGCAGGCCACTGAGTTAAAGACTCAGCCAAATGTAGGATCCAGATGTGCCAAAAATCTCAGAGACCTTTCTCAAAGCTGCTGCTTATATACTGGAAGCAGACCACATCCCTAAGGCAGCTATTCAACTGCACACGGTAGATTCTACCATGGAGTTGATCACCAGTCTTATCATGGGGAATAACTGTAGCTCAAAAGCAGGCCTAGCCAAGTTGACACATAACCTTAACCACTATAGATGGTAATTTAAAATAGAGTGGTCAGAGGCCTTACAGAGAAGGAGGCATTTGAGTAAAGACCTGATGGAGAAGTGAGAGGGAACCACATGGATATTTGGAGGAAGGTCATTCCAGGCAGAGAAAACAGGAAGTGCAAAGACCCTAAGGTATGAGTGATACAGAGCGTAAAGGCCCTGTCCACAGGGACAGTGCTCCTTGGCTCAGGTCAGTTTTGCTTACCCAAGGGCTGCCCAGTGTTGTGAGGTCTTCTGTTTTTCAGGAGCCAAAATGTGAACTTTTGCATAGAATCTACTTCTCCATCTTAGCTCAAAAAAAAATAAAGGTGCAAGCTAAACACAGCATGTTTTGAGCAGCCTGTACTCTTTGCACATGACAGTTCTAAGAAGAGAAGTGATCTGAGCTGTTGATAGTCTGGGGTAATCAGCCCAGGGCTGAGCAGCTGTGACCCTTCTGGGGAAAATAGAGCCTGCAGCTACCCTGCCAAAGCCTCAAGGCCAGGAGCAGAGCCTGAGAGCAGCAAGGAGGAGTCAGTGGGTTAGTGAGGAGCCCCTGGCCATGGGGCTGAGGACCAGCTTCCAGGGTCCCCTTGCCCCTTGTGCAGAAAGCCCAGGGAGGGCCTCACTCTGCCCTTTCTCCACTTTTCAGACTGACCCTCCCTTTATCATATTTGGGCTCCTCCAGTTCCTCTGAGTCTTTGCACCCTCCCTTTCTCCTCTAAGCGCAGTCACATACGCCCTGGGGGCCGGCTCTGAGGCTACAGCAGTGGATTGGCCAGTTGCAGCACCCATGCACACAGCTCCCGGCTGCTGGTGGAAATAGGCTGTAACACCCTGTGCCGGGGCTGCTAAGGGGGCCAGACTGGGAAGAACTTCATGAAACTGGTATCTGTACTGAGGAGGCAGCAGCCAAATAAGATTGGGCCAGGGTTGGGGGTGTGAAGGCCCTCAAGTTAGAATGTGAGGTTGGTTGATTTTGAGGAACTGGAAGGAGGCCAGTTGGACGGAGCGCTAATCAAGATAGGGGTTGGGGTGAAATGAGGCCAAAGAGGGCAGCAGGAAGGTTGTATAAAGGCATCACTAGAGAGTTTTCAGAAGGGGAGAATAGTCTGCACTTTTATCTTTTACTAGGTAAAGGCCTTGGGGAAAACTTCCCAGGTCAGAGCTGCCTCAGCCACTGCCAAGGGGCCTCCTGGGAAAGGGGCTGCCACAACCGCCCCTGTAAAGGCTGAAGCCACCTGGGCCAAGACAGGGAGGCCAGAGCAGGACTCAGAGAGCAGCAGTGAGGAGGAGTCGGACAGTGAGGAGGAGACATCTGCAGCCATGGCCCCACTTCAGGTGAGGCCTGGGAGAGGAGACACCCTGCAGCCAGGACCCCTCCCCAGAAGGTCTACTGAGGCCTTGTTCTCCCTCTCTGTACAGAGCCCAGCACCTTACCCCGTCTCTGTGTGGCTCCTTCTCTGGTCTTTTCTGTGTCTGCACGCATCCACCCTTTGGTAATTCTTTCCCTCTTCAGGCGAAACCCTCTGGGAAAGCCCCCCAGGTCAGAGATGCCTTAGCCCCTGCCAAGGGGTCTCCTGTTAAAGGGGTTGCTGCACCAACACCCCCTGGGAAGATAGGGCCTGCAGCTGCTCAGGCAGGGAAGCCAGAGGAGGATTCGGACAACAGCAGCGAGGAGTCAGACAGTGAGGAGGACACGCCTGCAGCCAAGACTCTAACTGTGAGTGCAGCTAAGGGGAGACTGGAGGACACCCTAGGAGGCTCTGGGCCCTACCTAGAAAGACCTCCTGTGGGCTTATTCCCACTCATTCCTAGAGCCCTGTGAGGCTCCATTTGCCCTTCACACACACTTTCCCTCAGGGCCCCCTCCCCTGATCCTGTCCTTTGTTAATCCCAGGCAAAACCTTCTGGGAAAAACCCCCAGGTCAAACCCACCTCAGCCCTGGGTACAGGGACTTCAGGAAAAGTGGTCGTTCCAGTGCCCTCTAGGAAGGCAGGGTCTGTAGTGCCCCAGGCCCAAGTGGGGAAGCCGGAGGAGGACTCAGAGAGCAGCAGCGAAGAGGAGTCGGACAGTGATGGGGAGACATCAGCAGCTGTGACTCAGGTAAGACCAGCTCAGGTAAGACCCACCCTGGACAGCTTCCTGCAGGCTCATCTTTCCGCTCAGTGCCAGGAGCCCTGCACTCTGCCCTAGCCTTCTTTGCACACTGCAGACCTTTTTGCCTTTTAGTCTTCTGTGTCTCTGCATATCCACCCACTGGATTCCCTCTCCTGATCCTGTGTCTCCCACTCCAGCCAAAGCCCTCAGAAAAAAACGTCCAGTTCCGACCTGCTGCAGGTCCCACCAAAGGCCCCCTGGGCCAAGGGGCTACTCCAACACCTCCTCCCAAGGCAGGGCCTGCAGCCACCCAGGTCAAGGCTGAGAGGCCCAAGGAAGAGTCAGAGAGCAGTGAGGAGTCGTCTGACAGCGAGGAGGAAGTGCCAGCAGCTGTGACTCTGGCCCAGGTGAGGCCTGGGCTGGACCCTGAGCCACCCCCGTCTGATCAGTTCTGCAAGGCACTATGCTGTTCCTTAGTTGCCAGAACTTGGATTCTGGACTTGTGGGGAAAGACAGCAGTCACACTCCATGCTAAGATAGGTAGCAGCTCTGAATCTAGGATTCTTTCCAGCGTCTATCGTCTGTATCCTCTCAGGCAAAACCGGCCATGAAAACTCCCCAGACCAAGGCCTCCCCAAGGAAAAGCACCCCTGCATCTACCAAGGTCCCCCCAGTACGAGTGGGGACTCCAGCCCCTTGGAAAGCAGGAACAACAACTTCTCCAGCCTCCACAGCATCCCCAGCTATGGCTAGGGGTGCCCAGAGGCCAAAGGAGGAGTCTTCTTCGAGCAGTGAGGAGGAGAGTGAGGAGGAGGAGACAGCTTCTGCAGCAGCAATGGGGCAGGTGAGGCTTTTAGTTTGCTTGGCTGTCCTCAGGGCTGGTCCCACATGGCCCTTTGGGTTCCTGTGAAACGCCTCTCTTCCTCCTACTGTTCCAGGCAAAGTCTGTGGAGAAAAGCCTCCAAGGGAAAGCTGCCTTGGCCCCTGCCAAGGGGCCTGTAGGGCCTGGGACCACCCCAGTCCTCCCTGGGAAGGCAGGGTTTACAGCCGCCCAGATCAAAACTGAGAAGTACGAAGACTCAGAGAGCAGTGAGGAGGAATCACACAGTGAGGAGGCACCCTCAGCCATGACTGCAGCACAGGTGAAGCCTGGGAGGAGACTCTCATGCCTCCCACATCCATGCCCAGGGCAGGGCCGAGGATGGCCTTGTCTAGTCTACTCTTGCCTCTGGGAGTACAGAAGCTCAGGGGTAACCTCAATTCAGCCTCATTCTGTTTCTTACTCTGGTTTTGCCCATTAAAGTCCAGGGTCTCTTTCATGGCCTTTTTAGTTTCACAGAGATTACCTATTCCTACCACAAGCTATATAGAGTAGTACCACTCTGCCAAGAACTGTCCTAGTCTGGTGTTCCTGTGGACCGGCCCTCAGGGAGGTCCCAGCCTAAATGAGTGGGACATGGACATGTGTATAGGTTATTCCAGCATGGTATGTTAAGGATTGAGATAGTGTGTACCTGGGCCAGGAGATCATGGCAGATGATACCATCTAGAAGGTTTCAGGACAGAGGGCCTCTTTCAGGAAATGGCATCAAAACTAGGCTGAAAGAACTAGCCAGGTGAAGTAGAGGGGTAAAATATTCCAAGCAGAGAGACCAGCCTATGCAAAGGTCAGGGGCTGGAAAGGTGCCTGGCTCAGATAAGTTGCCACAAGCAAGACATTATGGTAGAATCACTGGAGGGAGATGGTGACATAGGAACGAATGGCAGGAGGTTTGGAGCCAGACTACCTGGGTTTGAATCCCAGCTGAGCTCAGACAAGCGATGCAATCCATTGGTGCTTGCATACCCTTCTTTAAATTAGAAATTGATCCTTACTAGGTTGGGAGAGAATTTAAGGTACTCTCCCCTTTCATACCTAGCCCAGAGCCTGCACACAGCAAGCTCTGTCCTCATGAGGTGGGTGGTGCTAGTGTGGAACAGAATCAAGAGTCATATCTCCCACCCCGGAAGAGCACCCTCTCCATACTCACCCACCCACAGTGTATTATTTTTTAATTGTCTCTTTTTTTTTCCCCCAGTAACCACTCAGAAATTAGTCATTTCTTTTTCCCTCTGTACCAGAGCATGCATTTCTATGGATTTTTTGTCCCCCTTGCTGTTGGCTTATGTGACCCGTGGTCCTATGATTCCTCTGCTGAGGTTTTATACTATGCCAGTGCCCCTTCCTGAGACATGTTCCACACCCATTCCCTTACTAAGTTTCATTTTACAGAACATTTAAATATTTGTTTTTCATTTAAGCCTCCCACCTGTACTATGAGGTGGGTGATTCATTTGCTTTGGTTTGTGAGAGAGGAAATTGGAGCTCAGAGGGTTGTTTAGTTGCTACAGCTCAGCCAGACAGTGGGGGTCAAAGCTGGGCCCCAGGTTCCTGCCTGTAAAGCCTTTCCTTTCCTACTTCCTTCTGCCATATTTTGGCCAAAATGTGCTCCAGCCACTGAGATGGGCCTTACTTGCTGTCAGGATGAAAAGTAGAGCTGCTAACCCTCTCTGGGGGCCTGGCTTTATAGCCAGTTGTCCTGTCAGAAGATAGTGCCTCCTAGCTTCAAAGGCCTTGAAGAGCCTCTGCTAAAACAGGCTGGGCTGATAGGAAGAGTCTTGTTGACCATCTTCTTTTCCTTGCTTTCATCTATACAATAAGAATAGTAACTATACCTTTGGGGATTTATTATGTGGATTAAATGAAATAGTAGTTGCATGGCCTCACCTTCAAAATGCTGGTATACACTAACTGGGTCCTATACCGTGCTGGGGCCAGAAATGAGTCAGATGAGGTCAGTGTCAATTATCTGCTCAGAGGTACCCAGCCAGTTCAAAGTAAACCATCATTTACGGATTGGGGTTCAAAACAAATGAAAAAAAATAGCTAAGACTAAGGATTAGTTGAGGAAAACCAAATGCGCCAGAGATTCAGGAAAGAAATTATTCAGGATATGAATGCCATAAGAAGACAGCCCTTGTATGAGAAGGCCATAAGAGATGCTCAGTGTTTGGTGAATGACTGAATGAATGTTGGAATGCTTCTGGGCCTGACCTTGTGCTGTGTGTTGATCTTAGGTCCTGTGACTCTGTTGAACTTTTTCAGTCATAGTGACTTTTGTAAATTCCTTAGGAATTTCTACATATAGGTCATGAATCTGCAAGTAAAGACAATTTTACTTTTTCCTTTCCCATGATGTCTTTTATTTCTTTGTGTTTTTATTTTTTTGCCTTATTGCCTTGGGTAGAACCCTGTGGTACAAAGTTAAATAGTAGTGGTGAGAGCGACACCTTTGCCTGATTTCTGATCTTAGGTGAGAAAGCATTCAGTCTTTTACCATGAAATGTGATGTTAGCTATAAGCTTTTCATAGATGCCCTTTATTAAATTCTACCTGTTTTATTGAGATCTCTTACCATGAATGGAAGTTGGATTTTGTCAAATGTTTTTTCTGTGTCTCTTGAGATGATCATATGATTTTTGTTCTTTATAATGATGATTAATATGATGGCATTGATTTTTAGGTATTAAATCAACCTGTCATTCTTGGAATAAAGCTCCTTGGTCATGGTGTATCCCTTTTTTATATGTTGCTGGATTTGTTTGCTAATGTGTTTTTTAAAAATTCATGTTTATAAACAATATTGGTCTGTAGTTTTCTTTTAATATCTTTGTCTGGCTTTGGTATCTGGGTGATACCTCATAAAATGAGTTGGGAAGTATTCCCTTTCCCTTCTCCTCTGGTTTGTGAAAGAATTTATGTAGGATTGGTGTAACTTTTTTCATAGATGTTTGATAAAACTCACCAGTGAAGCCATATGGGCCTGGATTTTTTGTATGTGTATGAGAAGATTTTTAATTACTAAATGAATTTCTGTAATTGATACAGGTCCATTTGGTTTTTTATATCTTCCTGAATCAGTTTTGTTAATAAATTTCTTTTTAGGAATTTGTTTCATCTAAGTTGTCTAGTTTGCATAAAATTGTTCATAATATTACCTTATAATTCCCTTAATTTCTCTAACATCTATAGTGATATCCCTCTTTCTTACCTGACTTTTGGTAATTTGTATTTTCTGTTCTTTTTCTTGGTCAATCCAACTAAAGATTTATCAATTTTGTTCTTTTCAAAGAACCAACTTTTGGTTTCATTGACTTTTTGTATAGTTTTCTTGGTAGTTCCTCTTTCTTTAATTTCCACTCTGGTATTTCTTATGTCTTCCTTTATTTTGAACTTGATTTGTTCTTTTTCTAACTTCTTAAATTTGAATCCTAGATTACTGATTTTCTCTCTTTCTAATAAAAATATTCAAAGCTATAGATTTCCCTTTAAGAACTACATTAGCTTCCTCTCATGAATTTTGAAATGTTGTGTATTTTCATTCTTTGGTTCATTGATTATTTAGAAGGAGCTGTTTAATTTCCAGAGTGAAATCTGAGTGAATTCCCAGATTTCGTTTTCATTGTTGATGGAAACAGTGACTCATGGCAGCCCCACATGTGTCAGAGTAGAACTGCCCTCCAATATGGTGGGTTTTCAAGAACTGGTTTTGGAAGTAGACCACCAGGCCTTCCTTCCAAGGCACCTGTGGGTGCATTTGAACCATCAGCCTTCCAGGTAGGAGCGAAGCTCTTAATCATATTCCTGTTTTACAGAGGAGGAAACTGGTGTCAGTGAGGTCAGTGACTTGCTTAGGCTCACACCACTGTTAAATGGAGGATCCAGAATCCAAAGTCATCCATTCTGACTCCAGAAGCAGTGTTCTCAGCTAACTGTTCTCCTGCCACTCACCTTCTTCCTTCCTTAATCCCCTTTTCTCCTTCCAGGTGAAGGCCTCAGTGAAAATTCCTCAGACCAAAGCCAGCCTAGCTTCTTCCAGAGTGTCTTCAGTCAAAAGGGCAGCATCAGCTCCTGGAAAAGTGAACACTGCAGATACGCAAGCCGAACTGGTGTCCCCAACCAAGGCAAGTGGGGCCAAAGCCACAAGAGGGTTGGGGCAGAGAGGAGGATGACCAAGCACTGACCACAGCCCAAACAAGGGCCCTGCACAGGTGGGAGCGACTGCCCAGCAACTGTGCCATAGATGGGAACTTAACCTCAAAGGAACCATGCTATTCATATCCGTCTCCAATACTGTTATCTCCTCACAATTCAGGTAAAGCCACCAGTGGGAACTCCCCAAAGCAGTGCCGTCTTGGTGCAGGGCCAGGTGTCTGGACCAGCTGTGGGGAAGGCAGTGGCTGTAGCAGCCCAGGCCAAGACAGGGGCATTCAAGGGGTCCCAGGAAGAAGACTCAGACAGCAGTGAGGAGACACCAGCGCAGGTAAGACCCAGGGGAGGAGCAGAGGGCAGCCTGTGCTTCTGCCTCTGCGTCAGGAGCCCTCTGCATGGGGCTAGGACCCCCTCCAGTGGGTCCCCTCCCTGATTCCATCCCTGTCACTCTAGGTGAAGCCATCAAGGAAAGCTCCCCAGGTCAAAACAGCCTCAGCCTCCACCAAAGGGACCCCAGGGAAAGGGGCTGTCCCAGAACCCCCTGGAGAAATAGAGCCTGCAGCCACTCAGGCAGGGAAGCCAGAGGAGGACTCAGACAGCAGCAGCGAGGAAGACTCAGACAGTGAGGATGAGGCACCAGCAGCTGTGACATCCGCCCAGGTGAGGCCTGATGAGGAGGCAGCTATCCATGCAAATCTCCCAGCCACCTGCACCTGCTCTTCCTTGGTCAGAACTTACATTCAGGGCCAGGCAGGGAAGGAAAACTGCAGATTAGGGCTTTGACTGTGGGATCTCTTTCCCTAACTGCTGTCCTTCCTCCATGTATCCTTAGGTGAAACCTGTTGTGAAAACCCCGCAAACCAAGGCCTCCCCGAGGAAAGGTGTCTTGGGCACTCCCATGTCTACTAAGGCCTCCACAGCACGAGCAGACACACCAGCCCCCTGGAAGGCTAAACCAGCAACTCCCACCATGGCAAACGAGACCAAGAACCCAAAGATGTCACAGTCAGAGAGTGACAAGGAGGCTCAGTCTGTGGTGCAGGTACCATGAGGTTGTGGGAAAGTGAAGGAAGTCACATCCCTCACCCAGGCTTGGGTCCTCACCTGGACAGGTGTATCTCTCTAGGCAGGTCCCAGCTGGCTAATTGAGAAGACTGGACTCTAGGGAATGGGAAGAGAAGGAATGAGAATCTTTCTTTGATCGGGGTGATTTTCCCTTTGTTTTCAGAGGGTGGCATGGTGGTTGTGTCCTGTAAAAGTCCAGGGTGCCAAACTATAGTGCTTAACAAGGTTTCGGAGCTCTGGTGGCGTAATACCTAAGGCATTTGACTGCATTTGACTGGTGGTTCAAACCCACCAGCCACTCCTCAGAAGGAAGATTGGGCAATCTACAGCCATAGAGATACCACCTTGAAAACCCAAGGAGGGGTCGCTGTGAGTCAGATTCAGCTCCATGGCAATGAGTTAACAAGGTTTAGGCGTGTAAGAGAAATAGTTAACACAAGCCAAATGGAGGCTATAGATGGCACCTGACATTGAGCCTTGGTGTCAGGAGAGACGACAGTAGGGAGTAGTGGCACCTAGGGCAAACAGGAGAACTCTTGCCACATCTAGAGGAACAGCCCTTATCAGCTGCAGCTGATCTTGACCTTGGAAATGCCCTTCAATGTAGCTAGGTCTTCCATTTCTTAAGAGAAGCTAGAAATCCAGTGCCAGGCCACACTCAGTCCTGTCTTAGATTTCTGTTTTCCTTAAGAGTAAAACAAGTACCAAGAATTCTGTGAGCTGAGGCTTCTCCTGGCACTAATCTCTGCCATTGGCTTAACAAACCAACTGTAGAACCCTCTGTCTTATTGATCGAGATTAAGGGGTGAAAGACATTAGCCCTGCCCTTTAGGAGATTATAGTCTGTAGGGTGAGACAGGATGATGGGATTTCTGTAGAAAATTCTGATGGTGTTCTGACAACAGGGAGTACAGGTCTCTGAAAGGCCAGAGAAGGGGATGAGCTTGAAAGAAGACCAAGCGTATACCAGACATAGATGTAGAGGAAAGTCCTTGGGGCAAGAAGGTCATAATATGAATCTGGGAGTTATTAGTGACATTGTGGAGAGCCTGAGTGCCAGACTAAGGACAAAAGAGTCCCCAGTTGTGTTTTAGCTTGGTGTGTTAGACTGGGTTCTCTAGAGAAACAAAACCAGTAAAGCTTATATATATATATATTTATAGAGAGAGAAATTTATCTTAGGAAAATGGCTCACACTTAATAGAAGCTGGCAAGTCTGAAGTTCCTGGATCAAACGTCAAGCTGGAGGCTTTTCCCAACTCTTGCAGCCGCAGGGGCTGAGGAGCTCAAGGCTGGCAGGCAGTACACCAGCTGTTGACTCCAACAAATGATGAATCCAAGATCTCCAGGCTGAATGGTGGATTGTTCACTCACAGACAGTTGTAGGCAGCACAACAGAATCCCGATCCACAGAAGAATGACTCTTTTCCCGGAATGTCCATAGATATACTAGAAGCAGGCCACACCCCTAGGGAAACTCCCTTTCAACAGATTGCCTGCTCAAAAGATAATCATCTGATCCCATCATGAGAATAACCACATCACAACAGTTTAAACCACACAGAATTGTGGTCCAGCCAAGTTGACACATAGCTCAACTATCACACCTGGGAATTATTTTTTGTTTTTTGATTCTAAATTGCTGTATCAGTCAACACCTTAGGCTACAGGAGAAAGCCCAGTTCAAAAGAGCTTGAACCGTAAGGGGATTGACTATCTCACAGTGTAGGAATTCCCAGAGTAGAGTGACTGTAAAGGTAGTTGATTCAGCAGCTCAATATCATTGGTGACCCAGATTTCTTGTACTTTTATATTCTACTAGCCTCATTGTCACAGAAGGGCTGCATTGGCTCCCAGAGAACTAGGAAGTCTCCCCACCCAACTTCTCCTTCAGCCAGACTTTGGGTATATGTTCCCTGTACAAAGCCAGGCAGTGAGGAGGGTCCTGGCGTTCCTGTAATTGGCTGGGAGAGGGGTCACCTTCCCCAAAGCATGTAGTAGGTTTATTAGCAAGGAAGGCACTGGGGAGGCAGCCAGCAGTGTGCACTATAGTTCCCATTTAGACATACAAATCAGAATCTTCTAGCTTCTCATGAAAAATTGGAAGCTTAGTCAATGTGGGTCCCACTTTTCTGGGTGTAACTTGTGTAGCAAAAGGTGGAACCTTTGAGCAGGTAGGAAAGCACAGGGCTGTCCTCTGCTTCTCCTGGACCTGAGCTGGCATCACTACCAGTGCTGCCTTCTCACTACCAGTGTTCACTGTCTGACAGTGCCTTCTTACTTTCTGAGTCCTCTTCCTTTGGCCCCTTGACTACAGTTCCCACAAAGCCAAAAAACCAGTTGCCTCGAATCAACACCAACTCATGGTGTCCTCATGTATGAGAGAACAGTGCTCCATAGGGTTTTCAGAAACGGATTGCCTGGCCTGTCTTCTAAGGTGCCTCTGGGTAGATTCAAACTTTCAACTTTTCGGTTAGTAGCCGAGCATGTTAACAGTTTGTACCATGCAGACTCCTCTCACTAACTCAGCCCCCTCATTTGTGCTTGGCCTGGCAGGAAGGGATGGCAGCCATTGGGGTACTGTTAGTCAGGAGTGTCATGACTAGGTGTGAGCTGTGCTTGGGCTACTGGCTCATTCCTGTACCCTCGTCCCAGGCTGCTGCCACCTCTCCTTCAGAGCACTGAACCAACAGCACTCTAGCCCTCAGATTCTCATTGCATCTGAGTCATATGTCCCTTTCAAGTTCAGAATCAGGTCTGGAGAGAGAATAACGGGTGGAGGCATGTGTTTCCGGTGGCTCTGGGGTCTGCCAGGCCAGCAGTAGCCCTGTGTGTGTGCAGGATGGGAGAGCCAGAACCTGTGAGGGCTGTTACTCATTGGCTGCAGTTGCCCCGCCCTTGCAGCTAGAAGGGAGCCCCAGATTTCCTGGTCCCTCAGTTGTACTCTCCTCAGCTAACACATCCCCCCACACCCGATGTGCTTATTCAGATCTTGTCTCCTCAGAAGGAGGGAAACTGCAAACTGGCCAGAAGCAAGACCCTGGCACCAGCTGCCCCAGAGAAAAGTTCAGAGGAGTCCTCAGAGACCAGCGAGGAAGAGCTGCCGTCAGGCCAGGTAGGCTACGCCTGGGTTAGTGGGCCTCTCAGGGTGAAAACACGTTTCCCCCCATGGAAAAGCTTGCATCCCTCCTTATGTTTTAATGGCACTTCACAATTTCCAGAGCTCTTTCCTTTATTTGAACCATTCCTCTTTACAGTAGCCTCATGAGGAAAGGAGCAGAGTGTCATTGAATATATAGACTTCAGAGCCAAATAGCATAGGACTGGATCATGACTCTACCTCACCAGCTCCATGACATTGGTCAAATGCCACAACCATTCTGAGGCTCAAATGTTTCAGCTGTAAAACGGGCAGTAATGATGCCTCTGTCTTGCTGTGCATAGTCCCCTGCCCAATATGAGGTGTCTCTTATTAACAGGAGAGCAGGTGGTGTTGCCCTAGATGATAGGAATCGAGGCCCTACAAGTTGAAATGGTTCCCAAGTTCTCATGAACCGTAAGAGGCCAAAAAAGGGCACAAACGCTAATTTCAGGCTCCATATATGTCCCCATGCCTTGTTTGGGACTGGGTGCCTTCTCTGAAGGGTGCATAATAACTCCCTGGGCCTCACCTGAGACCCTTGCTCAAGATCCTGTGGCATACCTTCCCATTAAATCTTAAAGCTCCTAAGGCCCTGGAGGCCTTTGTCCTCCTCAAGCCTCAGGCTCCTGGCATCTTCTGCCTGGTTCCTTAGAGTGTCCCATTTCCCCTCCTGGGACCTAACTAGAGATGCTGGAATCCTGCTACATCACAGGCTGGTGGAGGCCATTGACTATCTCCTCTTCCAAATCACCTATTGTGTCCTTATTGTTCATTCTCCAGGGGCAGGCAGCTACTGCTTGTACCCTTCCAGTGATGGGATACTCATTGCCTTTCTCTTCTCAGTAGAATATTGTAGTGAGCTGTTGAATCAATTCTGACTCATACCTGTTGCCGTCGAGTCTTTTCCAACTCATAGTGACCCTACAGGACAGAGTAGAACTGTCCCATAGGGATTCCAAGTCTGTAATTTTTACGGACACATACTACCACATCTTTCTCCTGTGGAGTGGCTGGTGGTTTTGAACCACTGACTTTTTTGGTTAGCAGCCAAGCAAAGCACTTAACCACTGCACCACCAAAACCAAAAAACTCACTTCTGTAAAGTCAATTCCAACTCATAGTAACCTTATATGACAGAGTAGAACTGCCCATAGGGTTTCCAAGGCTTTATTCTTTTTTTTTTTAATTTTTAAATTTTTGTTGTGATTTGGGTGGAAGTTTACAGAGCAAATTCGTTTTTCATACAGCAGTTCATACACATTTTGTCTCATGACATTGACTGTAATTCCCTACAATGTAGCAGCTCTCTTCCCACTTCCACCCCCCTGAGCTGTCTCCCTGTGCAAACACTACCCTTCTGTTCTTCCACGATTGATCACTCCAAGGAGTGTATCTACCAATGTAAATGCCCATCCCATATGCTTGGCTATTGTGTGGCTGGAAGCCACAGGAATGAACTTGGTTCCAGACCTGTAGGATAACTAGGGGCCATAGTCTCAGGGGTCTCACCAGGCTCTATCAGACTAGCAAACCTGGTCTTTTTTTTATGATTTTGAGTTTTGTTCCACATTGTTCTCGAAGCTTTATTCTTTAGGAGAGCAGATCACTGGGTCTTTTCTCCTATGAAGCCACTGGTAGGTTGAGACCAAGGACCTGTCAGTTAGCAGCTGAGTGCTCTATCATTGTGCCTCCAGGGTTCCTTCTCAATAACACAGATTACAAAAGTAGTCATGAGCAACTGTAGCTAACACTGACCCTTTACTTTGGGCTGATCACCTGTGTTGAGCCCTGTACTTGGCAGTAATTTGTTTAGTCCCCACAACCCTATTTGTCTTTCCATTGTAAGGAGGCGGGAATGAGGCTCAGAGGAGTTGAGTGAGCTGCCCTAGCATGACACAGCCAGAAAGGGGCAGCAGACCTGGTGTGAACTCAGGCAGACTATACTCTGACGTGCCACCCTACAGTCCCCTGACACCAGGGAGTTTCTTCTGTGGGGAAAAAGGAGAGCAAGCAGGGCTTGGGCCTCACCCTTCTAGTGGAGCTTCTTTGTGGAGTCCTCCCTGAGCGGGATGGAAACAGCTGGGAGGGAGGGGGCTGCTTCGCCTTTCTCTGCGGGGGCGGACTAACACAATTAAAATGAACATCATGCTTAAACTGAACCATTTAATTGGTACGTTAGTCTTGAAGATTCTGGAGTCCCTATTAAAAAAGAAGAAAGTCGGCATTTTGCGCGTTCCCCCAGGAAGATTCAGGGAAGCCTGGGGATGCTGAGCCTCTGCCTAGCTGGGGGATTTTTAGCTCTTTAATCCTTAACTCAGTAATTATGATTATTACCGTTATTATGCATTTATCGAGTACTTGTCTATTGACAAGCTTCATTCTCTATTTTTATTATTAGCCCATCGATGCCAGGCCCGGAAGCAGGGAAGGGGATTGTCGCTCCATTCCCAGGCCCCGTGACTGTACCTCAGTCTCCCCACTTACAAGATGGAACCCACCCTCCTGTACTGAGACACACTTTAGGGGTTGGTCTGTGACTCAGCCCTATTAGTGCTGAACATAAATATGGGCCAGGGTCTCTGCTGGGGTCTGGAAGGGGGCGGGGGTCGGTTACCAAATAAAAAAGACCTAGGCTTTGCCCTCAGAGCTTTAGATCCAGTCAGGGAGAAAGAGAGACCCTGTAAAAAACTAAATTGAGGTGTTCAATCAGAGCCCTAGTGAGATTGGCCCTGGAAGGAGCTCCTGCCTGGTACCTGGAAAGCTTGCATCCAGTCCTGGCTCTGGCACCAGTCTGCTGGTAACCCTGGTGAGGCCACTTGTCCTGTGGCAGGTGCTGGAGAAGGGTACTCTTGTTGGCCTTCTCCAACCCTGGTGTACAAGGATCTCGGGGACTACTTTCTGAGCTCTCTCTGGTGAGGCTGGCCTAAGATCTGTTAACCAGCCCCCAGGCTGTTGTGAAAAAGTATGCCCTTTGGAGCTCTGTTACCTTGGGTGTCTTTGGGCTATGTCCCTTATCTGGGGTCAGTTCTAAATGATGAAAACCCCTACTGTGCCCACACTTGCTGGAATGAGAGCAAGGTTTTGCTGAGCTTAGCTGGGAGAGTGGGTAATAGATACTGCCTGGAAGATCCCCAGGCTTAGTTCTGAGGCACAGGGACCTGCAGACAGGATGAGGTCCCTGGATTCTGGGGCTGCAGTGCTCAACATTGTCCAGGGAATGGATGGTTTCACTGTTTAAACCTTAGGTTTTTATAACTCCCCCAGAAGGAAACCCTCTCTCGGCATCCCTGTGTGTACTGTGCTTTGCAGTTTCCAAAGTGCACCAGAATCCCTCCAGTGAGTGAAGCCGTACTGGGACTTACCAGTGTTCCATTCAATACAGGGGGAAAGTGAGGCTCAAGAAGCTCAGGGGCTTGAGCACATAGTGAAGTCATGGAGGAGGCAGACCAGAATGGGTCTCCCCACTCCCACCATTTTGAGCTCTGCACTCATTGCACTCCTGCCCCAACAGTGTTCCTCGGTGGTCCCCTTGTGCCCTGCCTTCCACTGCCGGGCCCCCTGCGCCACCCTCCTCCCACAGCTCAGAGGCCGGGGTGGGGCAGCGTGGGCAGGTGGAGCTAGGAGGAGGAAGCGTTGGCTGCTGAGCTGCTTTTAACATCCTAAGACACTATTGTTTGCCTTGGTGGGTTCGTTGCCTCTTCGTCCCGACAATCTGTTCCTCTGTCTTCTCACATATATATAGATTTCCCCACACCCCCAACTGTAAGCCTTCTCCCACTTTCCATCCTTCTCTCTTTCATCACGTGGGAAGGAAGGCTTGGGAAGTGGCAGATGAGAGCAGCCGCGGGGGAGGCAGTTTGACAGGGGTAGGAAGGGCCTAAGCCCAGCAGAACTCCCACCCTCAAGTGAGCACCTTTTCTTTGCCTTTTGCTCTACCTTTGTCTGCACAGCACCCTGGGGGCAAGGAGGTGGAAAGTGGTCAAGACATTGTAGAGGACCTGGGTTCTACTTCCGACTCTGCCCTTAACCTCAGGCAACACCCTTATTTTCTGGCACTACTTTTCCCCATTGGTCAGAGAGGGAGCAGAACTCACCACAGATCTGACAGTGGGGACTGCAAAGTCGATTTCCCCGGCTCTGGTTAGCTGGGCTTTTGGGAGGGGAGGCTATGAGTGTAAAGGAAACCCAGAGGGGCCCTGCTCTGCAGTGGGTGCATCACTAGAGCTGGTTTCCCACCAGCCTTTTCTGCAGGATACCAGGGAGTTGCTGCTGCTGCTGCTTTCATTTTGTTTTATTGGAAAACTGAAAACATACCCAAATATAGACAGAATGATAAAACAAAAGCCCACATACCATAACAGTTACCAATCCATGACCACTCCCATTTCATCCAAACCCCCTTCTCAGTCCCAACACCCTGGGATTATTTTGAAGACAGTCTCCAGCCTGTCCTGTCACCTACCAGGATTTCCTAAATGAGGAAAACATGCCTTTTTGTTTTGGTTGGTTTGCAAAGCATAATCACAATACAGTATCACAGCTAAGAAACTTGATGGCGCTTTTTTAACATCACCTACCCAGTCCGTGTCCTCATTTCCCCAACTGTTTCATAGATGATGATTTTTATACTTGATGTTTGCAAGTAGGAGCTCAAATAAGGGCCACACAGTGCCTGGGGTTAATAGTCTCTGACTCTTAATCTACTGCTTCCACCCAGCCCCCTGCAGTGTATGTGTTAAAGAAACTGGGTCAGTGTCACTGGGGGTAGCGTCCTAGACTTCATTCCAGGAGTGCTGCATCAGAATCTCTGGAGTGGAAACTAGATGGTACCTGGCCACGAACACTGACCAAGGAGCATGATAGATGATCATGGTTAGAAGGGGAGAAAAATGTAGGATAAAACTGAAAATGGCCAGACTAACTGGACCACCTGAGATTATCACCCTGAAACACTCTTAAACCCTGAACCAAAACTATCCCCTGAAATCACCTAACAGAAAAGCAGAATGACACACAAAGGATATTACCCATTAGATCAGTGTTCTACAAAAAATGCCTGTGCGAGTCCAAAAGGTCAACATTTCATCCAAAGGAAAGATGAGAAGATAAGGGGGACAGGAAAACTAATCTACTAGACAATGGAACACAAAAAGAATGTTGACACAATGTGAAACAGAACTAATGTCATTGATCACTTTGTGTGGAACCTAACTTGCTATGTAAACTTTCACCAAAAACGCAATTAAATACTATTTTTCAAAAAAACGGGGGGTGGGGAATCTTTGGGGTGGGGCAGCTGGGTTGGCAACGCTCCCTGTCACCACTGGTCAAGGTAGCGCACTGCTCAGAGCCTGCCTTCATAGCAGGTCTGTCTCTGAGGTCAGCAGATGAGAGAGCACTAAGTCGAATTGTGGTCCTAGCTCCACTCTCATTGGGCTGTATGAGTTAGGATCATTGTCATCCTCTGAATTCCAGTTTTCCCATCTGTATAGTACAGCTGGTACTGCTTATCTCAGGGGTTCACTATAAGGATAGATGGGTCCCTGTGAGTTGTGAGGTGTTGTGGCACCAGGGCTTGGTAGGTGGGTGGCATGGGAGGAGGCTGGGAGTGCTCTGGGCAGCTGGAATGGCCTCTGACATTACTCAGCTGCCCTAAGCTCATTGGACCCCTTGCCTTATAAAACCTTCCCCTACCCTCACCTCCCTTTCCCTGGCCAAGCCTTTAATCACTGGGGGGGTGTGTTTTGTTTTTGTTTTTCAAGGTGATTAAACCCCCTCTGATTTTTGTCGACCCTAATCGTAGTCCAGCTGGCCCAGCTGCTACCCCCGCACCAGCCCAGGCTGCAAGCGCCCCAAGGAAGGCCCGGGCCTCAGAGAGCACAGCCAGGAGCTCCTCCTCCGAGAGTGAGGATGAGGACGTGATCCCTGCTACCCAGTGCTCGACTCCTGGTGAGCACAGATGAGGCCCAAGGGGAGAGAGCCCTGGCCCAAGTCTCAGAGCAAGTTAATTGGCCAGGAGGGGCTTAGGCCGGGTCTCCGGGCCTGCATTGCTTCATCGGATGCAGGGCTGACTCACATACACAGTCCTGGAGATACATTTCTTAGGACTTTGCCATAGGGACTCCCAAGGTTAGAACCCCAGCCAGTAGCTATAAGCTGCAGGGACCAGGTTTCTGCATAGTCTAATGAAGAGCTTTCTAAAAGCTGACTGTCTGAATATGGAGTGGGCTGTCGTGGTGGTAGTGAGCTTCCCCACTGGTGGCATGTAGAAGGGGTTAGGCGATATCTAAGCAGAGGCATCTTAGGAGAGGATTACGTATACCAATGGGAGAGAACGCCAGATCTGGGCTTTGTTCAATTTCTGAGAATCTGATTGCACCAGTAGTAGCAAAAAAATGGTTAATGTTACTGTTATTGTTACTATAATGTTTTTATGAGGAAATAATACTGGATCTTGGTAGGGCAATTAAATAAATATAAACACACACACAAAAAAAATCCCCTGTAATCTTACTACCTAGAATAATTACTCTTAGCATTTTAGAACTTCATAGAAACCTACAGCATGCATATGTTTTTAAAGTGAGATCATACTGTCATAGTGTTCAGTGGTCTTCACTTGATATGTTATGAACATAGTTCTTTTGGTCATGACATACTTACTTACAGTATGATTTCTTCTGGCTACGAAGTAGTCCTTTGGGTGGACAGACCCTAGTTTATTTAGTATTATATTGGAAGCAGCTAAGGGGTGTTCTTTGCTCTATGGGCAGTGATACAGTGAATATCTGTCCCTGAGCCTTTGTATGTGGCCATGATGATTCTCCCAAGGGCCTATTCTAAGTGTAGGAGCATCTCCTTGGGCACCAGTGCTCCAGCACCTTGCTCATGAGCCACAGCCTGGCCAGCCAAGAGGAAATTTTATGGAAGTTTGAAGCATGGAGGAGGGAAAGCAGAAAGCCTAAGTCACAGCCCCAATAGCTATTTGATCACCCTCCACCGTGGTTTCCTCACCTGTAAAATGAAGATGGTGAGAAAGAGCTACCAGGAATGCTTGGGCATAAGAGATTAAAACAGGTTTCACCCATGTAAGCCCTGAGCACAGGGCAAGGCCCCAAGAAGGGCTGGAATAGGTTACTGTTGCTGGGGAGGCCCTGGGACTTCTGTGGTCTGACATGTCCCCTAACTACTCCATTTCAGCCATTAGAACCAATGTGATGCCTGTACCTACTGCCCGACCAGTGACAGCCCCCAATGCCAGTGGTGCTGGGGCCAGCAACAGCAAGGAGTCCAGAGGTGTGGCAGAAAGCAAGCAGCAGATGGCGCCGGCCCCTCAGGTATTTGGGGGCCCCCTACTCTGCCCACCCCACCTGCAGCACACCCTCTGTTTGGGCTGTAGTTAGATTGCCCTCAACCACCCACCCAGAGATGGCTGCCTGATGCCAGGCTCCCTTCTCCTGCTCGAATTGTCAGGAAGAGTAATAAGGAACATGGCATTCTTGACTCTCATCAGTTTCCCAGCGTGGTCGGGCTTCCGATTTGGTTTCTCTTCCTCTTGATTTTAAAATATCAAAACAGAAGTTATCTTTTGGATATTCGTAATATCACTGTTCACATCCTTCCCAGCCCTCACCCTTTTCAGTACATGTTTATGTGGTCCTTGCCTGAATCGAAAAGCTGAGCAGGGTAGAATTCATAGCTCATCATTCATATGAGAAAACTGAGTCCTCCAGAGAGGGTTTGTGCTCTTCTGGTCACACTGTGTTTGTTTTCCCTGTCCATTTGAGACAGGGAAGTCCACCGTACCTCCCCCTGCCTCTAAACATCCAGGAGAGATCTGGGACTGGCTGTTGGGGAAGTCAAGCACTCCTAACTCAGAGAGGCTAATGCACCACCCACCCATGCACTCTAATGAACTGAGCATGCATGGGTGCTGAGAAGGTGGCCCAGAAACCTGTGCCCATCCAACCTCTATCCTTCTGGCTCTTCAGCTAGCAGGTGGTGCTGAGACTTTGCTCAGTGCCAGCACAAGACAGGCTGAGTCCCTGTCCTCATTAAGTTCCCTAGCAAGCAGACCAAAAGAACAAGCCAAACCCACTACCATCGAATTGATTGCAACTCATAGTGATGCCCATTGGGTTTCCAAGGTGGTAAATCTTTACAGAAGTAGATTGCCCAGTCTTCCTCCCACAGAGTAGCTGGTGGCTTTGAACTGCCAGCCTTCGGCTTAGCAGTCAAATCCCTTAGGCACTGCACCACCAGAGCCTTTAACAAGCAGGGAGTAGCCATTCAACAAGAAAACCAAAAAAAAGTACAGTGCTTGCCAACCATGGTAGGTGCTTTGAAGGAAACAGAATAATGGAGTGACCCAAAGCCAACTCCGGCTATCTAATGGCCATTCTCCAGGTTTGGGCCCTTTTCTCAGGGGCCCTGGGCAAGAGTTCCTGGTAAACAGGGTCCTGTCTACAAGGAGTCAGGATGGTCCCTAGAGGGTGCTTTAGAAAGGATGGGCAGGAAAGGCCTCCCTAAGGAAGTGACATTTAAGCAGCAGAGGCAGCTGGTCACAGGTACATGCCAGGCTTGGGCAGGCACCGAGGGCAGAGGAACCGAAAGCCTGGAGTGAAGTAGCAGGGGGCAAGGGGCACAGCACGCAGGCTTGGCAGCCATGGTGAAGCTGGCATTAACAGCTGAAGGACAGTGGGAGGCTGGAGGTTTTTGGCAAGGAATCATGCCCAATTTCATTTTGAAGTTTTCTCTCTCTGGCTCCTGGTGGGTGTAGGAAACAAGAGTGGCAACAGGGAGACTATTTAGGAGGCTGTTGCAGCCACCAGGCTAGAGGCCTGTCCTTGATGAAGGGACAGTTGGAGTGGTGGAACCTACTAAGCTGATTCCCACCCCAGGGCTGGCAATTGCCTTTGCACCCTCTGAGGAGCAGTGTGACTAACTCATAACCTGAAGTCCAGCACACACTTTCCATCCAGGTGGTGGCATTGCTCCTTTGCCCACCTCACAGCCTCACACTCCAGCCCCATGGCTCCCTTCTTCCCTAGGTCCCCTCCCACCCTAGCCAGGCGGGATCTGATCAGGGCATGGCACAGAGGGCATCCCCAGGGCTCCTGAGGCTAAAGGCTGCCTCTTGCTGCTCACAGGTGACAAAGAAGAACCCGGCTTCCCTCCCACTGACCCAGGCTGCACTGAAGGTCCTTGCCCAGAAAGCCAATGAGACCTGGTCTCCCACTGCAAGGACCCAGCCTTCAAGTGGGGTGAGCAAGGTCTTTTCACAGACAAGTCTGGTCTGGAGGGAACAGATCAGGAAAGAAGATGGTTGGGAGCACAAGAGTGAGACCACCCAGTTCTCTGCCCAGAGGCAAGGCCATGGTCATCTCTGGGCCTGCCCCAGAGGGGCGCACAATGAAAGTCCACAGGAGAAAGGGAGAGCACAGGCACGGGCTTCATCCTAGTGCAGCCGTTCACCTGCCCTGTGACCTCGGCACACACAACCTCCCTGGGCCTCAGTTACCCAATCTGTAAGAAGGAATGGCAGTGAGAGTTATGGGAGGGACAAAATAGGCCGGGACACAGTAACTGGTCCTTACTGGAGTGCTTAGTTAGATACCAGGTCTTCTTGCCCCTGATTTTTTTCTTCTGCTCTTTCTCCTTTCACCAAATTAGGTTGGCAGTGCTCTAGGAAAGTCCTCTGTGCAGAGTGCCCAGAGCAGTCCCGTCCAGGCAAGAGGGACCAACAAGGTCGGAAAACCCAAGCTTCCTGAGGCCCAGCCAGCCACAGCCACACCCTCAGGAGGCCCCAAAGCCAAGGCCTCTGGGACTTCAGATGACAGCGAGGACAGCAGTGACAACTCTTCAGAGAGTGAGCAGGATGTTGAGGGGACCCAGATGGCCAAGTTGGCACACAGACCGGGTGAGATGGCCAAGTTGGCACACAGACCGGGTGAGGGTGCCGAGATGGAAGGTTCACATGGGCCTGGTAGGGGATAAGAGGCAGCCCACTGGAGCCCTGGGCTCTGGCCTCAACTTGTTCTGAGACCTTGGCCAGGTCATATCACATTGGGCCCCGGTTTCCCGACCTGTACAACCCCGTGAGGGAACAGCTAGAAGCTTAGATGAGGAGTGTGCAGAGGGGTCAGAAGCCACCCTGGACTCTCAACAGAATGCCTGTGCTTCTCCAGTAGCTCCAGTGCCCTCCAGGAAGGAGACCTTGGTGGAAGAGACCACAGAGTCCAGTGAGGATGAGGTGGTGGAGCCTTCCCAGGTAACTGCAGTGAGGAGGACCGGCCTGGCAGGCTCCATCCACCTGGTGTAGTCTTAGGCTGAGACTATCCCCAGGTTAGGGGTCTGGGCTCTTCCATTTCCCAGAGGTTCTGGGCATGAGTTACTGGTAGGCTAGGTCCTGTCTGCAAAATACCAAGATGGTCCTAGTTCCCCAGGTGTGGCCCTATTTCAGTCTGTAGAAAGGGTTGCCATTGATTTTAGTTAATACCCAAACAAAAACGTTCTTTTTATTTTGGCAAATGGGATTTACTTTAAAATTACCATCTGTACATAACTAGTGTTAGCGATTTTCTATTTGTGTTATATGTATCTTTCTAAAATATGTATTAAAAAGTGCGGAAGATAACCTCAAAGGGTTAATGGCCTAGGCCTCCCTGCCTGCCCACTCTGCCCCGGTAGTTTTCTTTACAGCAGGCCATGTGCCACGGGCTGGCTGGGGCTGGGGCTGGGGCTGGACCTCTTTCACACTGGGCTTCTTCAGTCTCTCCTCTCAGGTTATGGGACTCCTGGGTTCACCCTGGCCAGTGTCCAGGCTTCAAAAGCCATGCCCAGGCTCAACCCCTCAGTTTCCTCTACTCCGGTCACCAAAGATGGCCCAGATGGCAAACTGGAGACAGAGCCCCAACAAGCAGCTGCCACGATGTCCCTTAAAACAGGTGAGTCAGGGCCACAGGAGGGACATAGTGGGATACAGAGGTATCCCACCACAGTGGTCCTATCTGCACCAGAACCTCTCTGAGTGGAACCTTGTACCCCATATCAGACCAAGGGTGTTCTTCAAAGTGTACATGGGCCCCACGTCTGCAGCTCTGACTCTGTGGTGTGGGACAGCCTGGAAACTGGGGTTTATCTAGCCCTGGAGGACGCCAGTGACCCCTGTGTTAACAGGAGCAGTGGCTTTGGCTTAAGGAGGAGGTCTTGGCACTCTCGACTATCCCTATTGGCATGTCTTCCCAGCAGATGGTTGAGCTAGGCACTGTGTGGGTTGTTGGGACTTACAGGGTAGCTCAGACAGGTCTGGGAGCCATGTTTGGAAGAATCTGCACAGCATCTGGAGATGAGAAACGGGCATCTTCTTTTTGATACGAAGGGATGTTTTCCCGACAATTAACAGTAAAGACCTGACCCCCGAAAGTGTCAAACTCTAAACTTGTTTATCCCCTTTCCCTGCCCTCTGACTCCAAGAATTGTTAGTGAAAAGGAAACTATGGGCCAGTTTACCAGAGCAATGACTGACCCAGCCTCTTGATATGGAAGAGTCCTCCACTGGGCTTCTCAGGGTGAACACTCCAGGTCCACATCCTGGGCCCATCTTCCAGAGCCCAGTGTGGAGGGGAGTCTCCCGAGTCACCAAGGAAGTTAGGCAGCATCACGTACTAACTGCAGCCCCAGCCCCTTCTTCTACAGCATCCTGCCCTGTGCTGGGGCAGGAGTGGGGTCATTGCTCACGGACTTCCCCAGGTCTCCTCTCTCTCTCAGAGGCAGATGCCACAGGGAGACATTTTAGAGGGGGCTGTGGAAGGTTTTTTTTTTTACACGTGTAGTCAGCACACAATTATCAAAGGAGTGCAGAGGCGTGGAAAATTCTAAACAAAGGCTGCAGCAGAAGTCACTGGCAGGCAGCAAACCTGCTTAGTCAGTGCCACATGAATGTACATTGTACCCAACAGCTCTCCAAAGCTGCATGGCCGCCAGGACCCTAGGCCTGGAAGGGCCGTGGGTGCACTGTGTACAGATGAACTTGAGGTGCATGTTTGCATGGCCTTCACTCATATTAGACATCTGGGATTTACAATAGGAGGACCCATTGTTCATCCAACCCCTCAACAAACAGTGAATTTGAGACCCTGAGGAGGAGCCAGGTCCTGGCCAGGGTCACATCAAGTTGGTGGATTTCATTAGCATTTTGGAGTCATTTTCTATCCCTAACCCGACTTGAGTGGAGTTTTAGTGTGAGAAGACAAAAGAGCTCTAAATTAGAAATAAAGTTGGGATGTGACACAGGTAGAAAGGTATGGACAGAGTGACCACTGGGCCTTGCTTTCCCCATCTGTACTATGTACAAGGTGGATTCTGTCCCCAGACCCCTTTGGCTCTCATGAGAAATCTGCCCCCCAGATCTATGACCTTAAGTCTTCTCTCTGTAGGCAGAAGAGAGGCCACCTCAGGTACAAAGCCTCAGAAGCCTCGGAAGCCCAAGAAGGGGGCTGTGAACCCCCAAACTTCAACACTGGCTTTGCAGAATGACATCACCCAGCGCCTCCTGAGCGAGCCCTGGCCCCTGAGCGAGGCCCAGGTGCAGGCGTCCGTGGCAAAGGTCCTGGCAGAGCTGCTGGAGCAGGAAAGGAAGAAGGCTGCAGATGCCGCCAAGGAGAGCAGCAAGAAGGCCTGGGTGGGCCTCAAGCGGAAGTTGTCAGGCGACCAGCCAGCTGCCAGCACCCCCAAAAGCAAGAAGAAAAAGAAGCTGGCAGCGGGGGTGGGTGGGGAGAGTGCTGTTTCCCTAGAAAAACCCCCCAGGACTCCCAAAGGGAAATCAAAGAGAGACAAAGCAAAAGCAAGCGACACCATGAAAGAGAAGAAGGGGAAGGGACTTCCTGGCTCCCGAGAGGCCAAAGAAAAGCCAGAAGGGGGTCTGTGTATGGTGGAGGGTGGAGACCAAGGCAACCCAAACACCAAGAAGGAAAAGAAGAAATCTGACAAGAGTAAGTGACTAGCTACAGCCCAGAGCTGGTGTCCCCACGCCCATGCTGAAGGATGTAAGGTGCCACACTGGGGGTGGGATTCTTGATCAGTACCTAGTCTTACCCCTCCGGTATAGAAGGGAGAGGCTGGAAATGGTTTGCCCAGGGCCATAGGGGTAGATAGCAGCAAAGGCAGAACCGGATTCTGGTGCTGATGGTGATGGGCCTGGTGCTGGTGCTCACTTTATTTAAACTTTTATTGTGATTTGGGTGCAAGTTTACAGAGCAAATTAATTTTCCGTACAGCAGTGCATACACATTTTGTCTTACGACATTAAGTACTATTCCCCATAGTGTAACAGCTCTCTTCCCACTTAGACCCCATAGTTATCTCTTCCCTGTGTCCTTCCCTCCCATGCACTCCTGCCCCCAAGCTATCTCCCTGTGTAAACACTGCCCTCTGTTCTCCCAAGATTGATTGCTCCAAGGAGTGTATCTACCTGATGGAAGTGTTCACCCCATATGCCTGTCTGTTGTTTGGCTGGAAGCCACAGGAGTGAGTTCAGTTCCAGACCTGAAGACAGCTCAGGGCCATAATCTCAGGGGTCTCACCAGGCTATATCAGACCAGCAAACGTGGTCTTTTTTTTTTTTTAATGATTTTGAGTCTTGTTCCACATTGCTCTCCCACTCTATCCAGGATCTGCGCTGATCCCCCCTCCAAGTGGTTGACAGTGGTGGCCAGGTACCATCTAGTTCTTCTGGTCTCATGGTCATATAGGCTGTGATGCTCACTTTAGGCACCCAGAACCATATACTCTTGGCTTCGGGCTTCTCAAGGGTCTGAGTTTGGGCTTCAACCTCAGCAAGGACAGGCAACAATGGCTTCTTCCCTCCAATCCATGTCAGTGGATTTTGGAGGAATGTTCAGTCAGCTCTCTAGGTGCAGAAGGGCCAAGGAACAGACCTGGTGCTAATCCCTGGCCCCATCCTCTCTAGGCATCCATCTCCCCCCAGTTGTCATCTTGTTCACTACCCTCAAATCAGCCCCCAATATATGGCGACCACATACCCATTGGAACAAAATACTGTGCCGGTGATTGTTACTGATCAGACTGTTGTGATCCAGAGGGCCTTCACTGGCTGATTTTTGGAAGTAGGTTGCCGAGCCTTTCTTCCTAATCCATCTTAGTCTGGAAGCTCCACTGAAACCAGTGCAGCATCATAGCAACACACCACATGAGGTTTATAGGCTGGGAATTGAATTCATTCTTCCACGTGGCAGGGTAGATTCTACCACTAAACTACCATTGGCCTCAAACTCATCACAGCTGCCCCTTGTGGTGCTCCATGCTGCTTTCTGCATGCTGTTTTGCCTCATTTCACCCTCCCACCAGCCCTGTGCAGAGGTGGTACATTTTACATGCAGGAAACGGGCTCAGGATCACAGAGTTTGTAATAGGTGGACCCAGATTCAAACTGAGGCAGTACTATCGAGCATCGCCCTGGGTGCTGTAACTGCAGTGAGACCTGATAGATGCTTGAAGCACCGGCTCATACTAGGGCAGTGCAGGGTCGCCCACAGAGCGGTGGTTGCAGACCACTGGAGTGTAGAGTGATTGGTCTGGTTACACTGGATTTCCATTTACAAAAAGGATTGAAAGTGTCCTTTTTGAATATATGTGTAGATGTTTTTTGTGTAGTTTTTTTTTTTTTTTCAAATGAGTTAATTTAAGGAAAAATAGTAATAGTCCAGCTTGTCCATGCATGAGGCAGGAATCTTGAAAGTGGCACCTGCTGTCCTGCTGTCAGGCCAGTGTGGGTGGTTACAAAGGCTCACCAGCCTATGTTTTGGTGGCTTGCCATGGTGTGGGGAGAGTTGGAGACCCAGCATCAGGAGAGTGAATTCTGGGGTCCCTGGAGTTCTTCCCTTATGTGTCTCCCAACAGTGACCCTACCACTTAATTAAGACTAACATCTGCTATTCAGAGTTTACTCTTTCTTTCTTCCCTCAGAAAAAAAAGACAAGGAAAAGAAAAAGAAAACAAAAAAGACCTCAGCCAAAGACCATGACTCCCCATCCCAAAAGAAAAGGAAAAAAAAGGTAGAGTGATTTCCTGAAGTACCTCAGGCCAAACTAGAGGCCCAAACCAGGGCTTCAAATTGGTTCTTCCTGATTCAGTCATGGCTGACAAAGCAAAACCAGAATGGAATCAACTTTGTAAAATGTTAAGTGTACCAGGACCAGAAAAATAACAAGTCGACACCTTTTGAGAGACTTAATCTCCCTCTTGGAAAATAAAGACAGCATGCACATTGTATGGCAACCAGTTCTCTTGACAGGCAGAGTGAGAAACAATGGCACCCTGCTTAAAGACAGCAGCCAACCGCTGCTTTGAATGTGTGTTACTCTACAGACCTGGCAGTAATCCAGTTTCCCGTATCACACTCCTGAAAGGGCTCACTTTGTCTCTTCGAAGTCTCCCATTCCAGGGTTTCAACCCAGAATTATTCTTGCTCCAGTTATCTTTCTGGATTTTAAAATTTTTAAATCAATTTTAAAAATTTGAGTGTTCCAATTTCACTGCTTTGGCCATGACTGAACCAGTGGAACCAGTTTGAAGCCCTGACCCAGTCCCAAACCCTGAGGTAAATGTCAGCTCCATCCTACAAGTATGGGATTGAGCCCTGGGCATGGGGCAAGAAGGACCTGTCACAGTATGTGGTGGGGCTTGTGAGTGTGACATATGAAGGAAGAGCCCCCCACCCCTGAGGAAGTCTAGGAGGCAGCCCTGAGGAGACACAGGTCTGTGCAGGTAGTGGGCCATAAAGTGACCCCATCCTATCTGAGACAGAAAGATGTTCTTAGGGATGGCCAGTGAAAGAAGGAGGGAGTGGGCAGGGAGAGCAGGTAGCCCACTGCAGATTTCCAAGTGAGAGGAAACATTACCTAGGATGTATCTGCTTAGCTGGCACCTGAGTAAGCTTACAGTCAGGGTATCAGCACGTTACAAACAGGTGTGTCCTCACTGTGGCCAGTAGGGGCCTCAGTTGGCTTTACAAAATCCAAGTGGTCTGCTGCTGCGAAGCCCTGGGCTTCTTCCTCAAGGGTATGGTGTGCAGTTCTCCCCTTAGGGATCCCCACATACCCAGTGTCTGTTCTGGGGGAGCCATGAATCCTCAGAAGGAAACTATCACATCCAGTGGCAGTGGGTGAGGAAGGGCTTCAGGTATAACAGCCTCTTTCCCTTCTTCCCTCACAGAAGAAGACAGCAGAGCAGACTGCCTGAGGGGCACAGAGCAGCAGGTATGCCCTTGCCTGGGAACCCTTCACCAACCATCTTCACCCCTGGTGGGCTTGGGAGGGCAGCTCCAGCATCCACAGTGATCCCAGAGAGCCAGTGGACTGGACTAAGAGGTCACATTCCTCAAGGTCAGTGTAGCCAATCTTGTGATGCCAGGTGCCATGGCTACAGAATCAGAAGGATCCGGGACAGTGATGGAGATGCTGACACTGAGCACTTCCTGGTGTGGGTGCTGTGAATGCCCTAGACAGTGGGCGCTGAGGGAGGGCCTGTTTGTAGATGAGCTGGAGGTCAAGCACAGCTCAGTCTCGCCCTCACTACACATCCAGTTCCTTTTTCTTACAATCTGTAACATTAGGGCATTTCCTCCCAGGAAGGAGGATAGTTCGCTCGAGTCGAGCTGTTCCAATGTATCTGTGTTTCCACATGGAAGAAAAGCTCTGCTAGGTGGTGGGAAAGGGTTAACCATCTGAGGAAGTCACCCAGCTTCTCTCAGAGCTTCATCTGCTCATCTGGAAACGGGTAACAAAACACCTTCCTTCTAGGATGGAGGTGAGGATTAAATGCAGTTAAGCACTTAGCCCAATTCCCAGACCACAGGAAGTGCTGGTAAATGGTGTGTGATTAGTGGATCTTCCTGCTCTGCCCCTGAGATGCCAGCTTCTGGTTTTGGTTTGTTCTCCTTGGTGGAGAGATAAGTCAGGAAATCTTAGGTCTGGATGTGCTTCCTTCCCCCAGGAATTTCTTAGCCAAGTGATGACCATCCCCATGCCTCTGACCTCTGCCCAACATGATTTGGAACTGAATTTCTAACTTCTCATCCATCCCCAGAAGAAACTAGATTGCCCACAGCCCAGCATACTGGCTGGGCCAGTGAGCCTAACAGAGAAGCTGGCACAGGAGGAAGTGTACCAGCAGCTGGGGCCTCCCCATGCCCTGCGAGCGCACAAGACATATCTCCAGACACAGGGCGCTCGTAGAGGTGTGTACAGTATATATATTTTTTTAACTGACCTGCCCCTCACTGCTCAGGCCCAGCATAGCCAAAGGCCTCAGGATTTCCCACCACTTTGCTCTGCAGACCTGGGAGGCCCAGCCTGTGGCTCAGCCTGCACCATCTCCAGCTGATGCTGAAGCTTCATCCTCCTTTTGTCAGTTTCTCCCAGTTTTTTTTTGTTTTTTAAAAAACTCAAAATAAAATGTTTGAAGGAAAGATGCAAGTTCCAGTGCATCTGGGACAAACCTGTGCAATTGATTTATTCTTGGCAAGGAGAGTCGGGCTAACAGTTAGAGACGAGTAAACCAACACTCTGAATTTGCTGTCGAGTTTGTTGAGTAAGGCAAGATCCTTCCTGGGGAACTGGGGTGGGTGCTACACACAGTGCTGGAGGAACCAATAATTACAGTAGAGATGCAGTGAAGCACCCTAGAGGCTGGGGTCCCACAGGATTCAATGGGAAGGGCTTCCTAGAGGAGGTAGCATACAGGCTAAGGGAGAGCTCAAGGATGTTCAGGGTTGGTTTCCAGATGCTGGAGTTGGTCATGCACAGAAATGGAAGGACCTTATGATCTACCTTCTATAGTTATGACTTGAGGGGAGATAAAGTGGATGACATTGACATGCGGGCAGGGGTACAGACATGGTGGGGAATAGCTGTGAGCAGAGACAATAGAAACAGGAACACCAGTTAAGCATAAGTCATCTCATGTCCAGGTAAGGAGGGTTCTGTGGTGGTTGTGAAAGCAAAAAATGGAAGAACTCAAGATACATAGAATGTTAGCGTTCAAGACTTAATGATGGTCTGGATGTGGAGTGATGGAGGGAAAACTCTCCCACTTCTCCAGCCCAGAGATCCAGAGGTCCACTTCCCTGAGGCTAGTGCTTTGGCCCAGAGCAGTGTGGAGCACAAATGACATGGAGATTTCTCTCCAAGGCTTTGGCCTCCTGCTAGAGACAGCAAGAGGAGGGGGAGAAAAACTAAGTACAGGGCCAGAGGTGGAGACCCTGGTTGGCATTCAGCTGTACCCTTAACTGAGGAAACTTGGGTAAGGTCCTTCCTTTCCTCAGTCTCTCCTGTGTGTTGGTCTAGGACAGAGGCAGAGTCGAGTCCTGAGTGGGCTTTGTTGACCCACCACCCACTGCCATCACATCAATTCTGACCCATAGAGACCCTGTAGACAGTAGAACTGCCTTTTAGGATTTCCAACGCTGTAAATCTACACAAATAGACTGTCTCATCTTTCTCCCACAGAGTGGCTAGTGGGTTCAAACCACAGGCCATTAAGTTAGCAGCATAATACTTTAACCACAGTGCCACTGGAGCTCTCTTGATCCATAGCAAGTCTTTAAAAATGGAATGATTTCACTGAGTTGTCTCCATTTCTGACTCCTAAAAAGTCAAAAAGTCTGGCTGGCAGCAGGGACCTCCACTTTCTCCAGGTGCCAACCAGCTGAGTCAAGTAAGATCTGCCATTTAGGTGGGTCAGGGGTACCCCAGCTCTCCACAGCCCACCCCCATTGTCCCTGATACTGATGCGCCATGTCAGTAATCCTCTGTCATCACATTTGTACTATTAGTACAAAAGTGAGAATGGTAATGTGAGAAAATGAAGGCTGGACCAGGAAGGCTTGGTGCTTAATAAAGAATGAATGGGCAAGAGTCTATTTCTTAATGAGTGTTCCTGTATGTTAAACATGCAAACCAAATGTGTCTGTGCAAAAGTCTGCAACCCTGCAGGCCCACTAGCAGTTTGTGTGGGGTTTCCCTGAACTGGGTTCTTCCACCCAGGCAAGTGGATTCAAGTCCCACAGCCTCAAGAAGTAGTGCCCTCCTGGTGGTAAACAGCTGAATCCCAACAGAGACCAGAGCCAAAGCATATTCTACTACTCGCTACCTTTTATTTCATGAGCTGAGCTGAGGCTGACAAGCTTGTGGTGAGCTGAGCATAGGACAGTGGGAGTTGGTAGAGTAAGGAGGGGTTGTGGGTAGAAAGGCTGAATTGCCGAGTGAGTGGTCCTGGGGAAAGGGAAGAGGATGGTTTATCCCCCAGGAGGATATGCTGGAGAAGCCAGTGGTCAAAGGGGAGAGGACAACAAAGGCTGGGGTGGGGTGATCCCTTCTCCCTGCCTGTATCTTAGAGCCCCACGTCAGAGGCTACAGTGGTGTCAAGTAAGGGGTCAGACTAGTTTTGGTCCATGTAGGGCCTTTGCCCTGGTGGTAGGTGAGAGTTAGGCAGCATGACTGCCGAGTGCCCTCTTGGATCGATGGTCTGCGCTGTTCTGACTTTGTTGTGTTCAAGGATGATGATGAGCCAGTTGCCAGCATCTCTGATGGGATGAGGTGCAGAGTGGGAGAAGAGGAACACAAGGGAAGGGAAGAAGGGTTCAGACTGGGGGACTAGGGGTGGGACAAGAAAGCTGTGGCCACACAGGGGTGGCTGGTGTCTGAAGCTGCCTCTGCTGTTCTCAGATGGGGGCTGCAGAGAGAAGCAGGAGGTTGAGGTTAGGTCACCCATGATCCCTGCCTTTCCCACCGTCCTGAGGCCTCAGCAGCTAAGGAATCTTGACTCTACTTCCCGCTGCTTGGTAAAAGTACTAACCATTATGGACTCATGCACCCCCACACATGGCCTCCAGCCCTGTCCTTCATCTGTAAAATGATGTCCCAGGGATGCTGGGAGTGGTCCAGGGTTGTGCATGCTGAGCACCCACCCATGAGGGAGCAGACCCAGTCAGGATTGAGGTGCTGGGGACAGACCCCCTCTGCAGGGCCCTTACCTTGACTCATATCCTATTTGGTCACACCCAGCCCAGAAGACAGGTCTTCCATGTCCAGTGGTTCTACAAAGAAGCAGCAAATGCTTTTGTTACTTGCAGCCTAGCCGTTACCTTTCCCCACCCATCAGTGATGTGCCTGTAGGTAGTTACCAAACTAGCCACTGCCTAACTCCTGGGAAAACAGGAGCTGTGGGGAAGGCTGCTTGCAGCATGGCTGGAAGCATCATTGAGGAGTGTGGCTGCAGGTTAGGGAGAAAGGCCCAGGAAGGAGGGTGATGAAATGAGGGAGTGGTCTGCAAGTTTCCTGGATGCGTCAGTGGATAATGCATGGATGGGTTGAAATATCAGAAGAAAACAAGGACTGCTAAGTGGAGGGGAAAGAAGGTTAAACAAATTAGTGTGAGTATCAAACCAAACCAAACTCACTGCCATCGAGTCAATTCCAACTCAGCAACCACCATTAGGTCTCCAAGGCTATAAATCTTTATGGAAGCAGACTGCCTCATCCTTCTTCCACAGAGAGGCTGGTGAGTTCAAATCACTAACCTCTTGGTTTGTAGCCAAATGCCTTAACCACTACACCATCAGAGTGTGGACATAAGAGGAGAAAAATAATAAGATGTATGGACAAGCAGATGAGTGGGTGAGTGAAGGGGTGGACACATGACTGAGTGAGTGGCTGCCCCCCACATCTGCCATCCTGAGGTCCTGGCCACTGTACTCCAAGAGGACCTCTTGCCCCTCAAGTGCACCAGCCTTCCTGGTCCTGTGACACTCCCTGGCATGGTGGCCACTGCTTACCACTGCAGTTATGGCGCCCACGGCTCCTGGTGTGGGGGACCTCGGTGCCGTTGGGGAAGACGCACCAGCAGTAGCCAATGCTTCCATAGCACTGGAGCGGCAAATAGTTGCCGTTCTCGTCGCACTTGGGCCTGAACATGCCCGGGTGGATGGCAGGGATGTGGCTGACCTCTTCCTGGCACTTGGTCAGTGCTAAAGCGACAGGCATGGTGAAGACACAGTGGGTGAGTAGGTTTGGGGCTGGGCTCTCAGTGGAGCCAGATACCCACACACCACTGCTGTGGGCCTAACGCCATGTGCCCAAGCGGCTCTACTCATTCCACTCATTGCGCAGATGAGAAAATAGGCCTGGACCAACAAGGTCCATGATCAAAGAGGGAATGAATGACTATGTGGCCAATTCATTCCAGAATGTGACAATTTCTCCTAAGACTCTCTCAATGCCTATTAAAATTTAGAATAGTTTCTAAACAAAAAGCAGTGGACCCTTTAGTAAGTCTGACCTTCCTGAATCCAAGTAGAAATGGGGGGGGGGGAGTTACCATTTATTAGAGATGTTGTAGAGGAGATTCAAGCATCAGATAGAAGTTGCTTGAAATGGCATCCACGGTGCCTTTAAAGTTCTATGAATGTATAATAAAGAAATCTGAGGCTCTGAGCAGGGGCCGGTAGTGACCTTGCACTGCAGGAAACAAGCACAGGGAGAAGACTTGCCCAAAGCTGTACAGCCAGTTAGAACAGCACTAGGATGACGCAGCCCTCTTCAAGGCTTTAGGACTAAAATATCCTGGTTTAAATTTAAAATATCCTAAAATCCCAAGGCCGCCTTATTTAGCACTTGCTGGCTATGACCTTGGGAAGGTCTCAGAAATATGGGGATCATGAGCCCCTCTAAGCCCCTCAATGGAAATTGTGGAGTACAGGACAGCGAAGGCCATTAATGATGATTCCTGGTGTGTTTTGATTGGTTTGCTCCAGGCCCCCTGGCATAGTGCCATCCTCCACAATGGAGGTTGTCTCCTGAAGGGAGGCCCGGGGCCCTCAGGGTGTGAAACAGCAGACCCATGGGCAAGATGGAGCCTGGAGGACAGCCTACCCAGAAGCAACATGCAGGAGAGACAGGAAATGAGGGATCCCTGTGGTCCTCAGATCAGGGAGTATTCAAGGCCCAAACCTCTGCAGTTCCAGGAGAGCCTGAGGGAACTCCCAGGGCCCTGGCACCACAAGCACCCTCTCGCTGTACCTTTTGTTGGAGCCTCAGTGGGCTTCTGCTCCATGGAGTTCTTGCTCATTTCAAACAAGAGCCACTGATGCATCCAGCTCTCAAAAACCTAATGGGGACACAGGGAGGCAGAGGAAGGTGGGACAGGATATCAGGCTCGTTGTTGTTATGTGCCTTCAAGTTGGCCCTGACTCATAGCGACCCCTCCTTGGGTTTCCGAGGCAGTATCACTACAGAAGTAGATTGCCCAGTCTTCCTTCCAAGGAGTGGCTGGTGGGTTTGAACCCCCAGCCTTCTGGTTAACAGTCAAGTGCCTTAGGCACTATGTTACCAGAGCTCCTATCAGGCTCATTAGGCTTCTCCAAACTTTGTTCTGCCTAGCTTTGCCCTTGGGGACAGAGACCCCCCAGGAATCCAGCCACAGCCTGGTTCCCCCTTAAAGGTCCCAGGGCTTTGTCAAGTGGCCCCTCAACTCCAAGCACTTTGCAGCATCTGGGCTTTGTAAGTGGTGGTAAGCTTCTTCCCACTTCCTGAGAATGATCTCTCTAGCCCACCCCTCAGCCCATCCCTCAGCCCTGCTGAAGGTCCCCCAGGGAAGAGGTCCAGCACAGGGAAAACTGCTGACCTTCCAGTCCAGGTTCTCCATGGTGTCCTTAAGGTGCTTCAGATTCTCTGGGAAGCTGCCCTTCAGCTGCGGGTACACTTTCAGCGGGTCAGACTTCTGCAGGTGGCAGGGTGGAAGATAGATTAAAAAGACCACCCTGGCAGGCAATGGGAAATATGCAGCCCATGTTTCCCTGGTGTTCTATGAGATGGACCCAAGCTGCACCAAGCTTGGACCCTGGACCTAAGTTGTTATTGATGAATAGGGGAGAGGATAAGGGCAGTCCAGGTGTACAAGATCCCAGGGCCAGGAGTTGGGAGATCTAGGTTCCAGGCCCAGGTCTACCAATTCCACCCCACACACACACTCTTCTACTCCCTGTAGACTCCTACTCATCTTTCACATCTGACCTCCTCCAGGAAGACTTCCTTAACCTCCTAAAGCTAGATTGGGTCCTCTGCATATCCTTCATCATTGTCTCCCACATTAGCCTGAGATCCCCATGGAATCAGGGGCTAGATCCAATAACTCCCCATTGTAGGCCCAGAGCCTTAAACAGTGTCTGGCAGAGTAGACATCCAATAAAAAGTAGGGAAGGAAAAATGGACTGTCTGAGCAAGTCACATCAAGGCTTCAGGCCACAGTTTCTCCATCTCAAAAATGCAGGGAGGCTGGACTACATATAACATTTAAGGGCCACATCTGTGTCCCTTTGACAATTCACTGAGCATGTGTGATGTTTACTGTGAGCCAGGCACAGAGCAGGCCCTTGGAGCACACCCATGCCAGGGTCCTGAGTAGGCAAGCAGGGCTACCTGAACGGTCCCACTCACCAGGAGCATATGCATGACGTGGTCCTGGGGCATGTTCCCGTACTTGGTGGCATTCTGCATGGGCTGTGGAAAAAAGGAACAGGGTTACCAGCACTGGCCCCAGAGAAGGAGACTGAAGGCCCCAGTGGCCTGGTGTAGGAGCCAGCAGCTGGGATCTGAGTAGAAGTCTGGAGTCCCAGGTGCTCAACAAGCCCATCTCTGCCATCTCCAAACACAAGCTGTTGAGCAAGTCACTTTACCTTCCCTCCCTCAATGTCCTCACTGGTCAGACTGGCATGAACTTTCTTGCCCAGGGCTTTGTCAACAGCAAACAGTTTTATAAATAGAAACATTATTGATATATGGCATCAAGTGCTTTGAGAATGTAAGATATCATGGGAAATGAGAAGCACTTTGTAAACTGTAGAGGGCTGGACCCTCCTCCCCAGGGATGGTCCCAAGAGCCCCTTCCCTCCTCCAACCTGGGAAGCCCTCTTCTTCCTGGGGTGGGCCCTACTCCTACCCACCAGTGAGGACCCTCTCCCAGCCTGGGGTTTTGTGGGTTAGCTGCTTTCCCCTTCCCCTCCTTGGCACCTGCCCTCCACCCAAGCTAGAAAATATTCCCCTTCCCCTACCGGAGTGCCCTTACCCCATGGGGCAGGCCTTCCATGGGCAGTGCTCGCATCAGCAGGGGGGTAGCCATCTTCATCTTGCTAATGGGCATGGGCGCTGTGGGGATAGGGTGTGTGGCATGAGTGTGGTCCCAGGGTGGAGGGAGACTCAGAGCCCAGGACTAATACCTCAAACCCAAGGGTAGAGGGGCTGGAATTCCCCACCAGAGGGTGAAGGAATGGGGGTTTCAATTGAGGGAGGAGGGGGCAGGGTGGGTGGAGGTGGGCACGCACGCTTGGGAAGCTTCATGCGCAGGCTCTCTAGCTGCAAGTTCTGTGCGGTGACCGTCAGCTTGTCCAGCCGGCCCTGCTGCTGGTACAGGAAGTAGGCGGTAGTGGCCTGGCCTGCCAGGAGCAGAGCCACCAGAACTGAGAAGCCCGTGTAGAGAGCCCCACGGCTGCACTTGCTGTTGGAGTAGAGGAGGAATAGGGTCAGAGCAGAGGCCAGAGGCAGCTGTGCCCAGGGCTGGCTGGGAGTGAAGGAATGTTCCCCCGCCTGCAACAATCCCTAAAGCCTCCTAAATGCCCACTCTGAACACAAACTATAAGCTGGCTATGGAAACTCAGCTTGAAGACATTCTCCTGGCCCCCACTGCCAACTATAACTATTTCTTCCCTGAAGTCATCCCAGGCAGAAATCTCAGAGCTTCCCCTGCCTTGGACTGAGTGGGAATAGCCAAGTAGCACCGTCTGACCCTGACAAGACTCACACCCTCTCCAGGCTTCTATCCCAGCTCTGCAATGAGGGATTGAGTTGGAGGATCTCCCCAAGTGACCTCCTAAGGTTCAAGGCTGCCCTGCAGTGAAATTAGATTGAAAGAGAAAAGGGAAGTGGGACAGCAGAGAATGTAGCCCATCTGAAAAAGAGAAGTGGGCTGTGACATTTTAGGTGTAGATGGGAAGCTGGACAAGTATCAAGCCCCCATGGGGCACACCCTCTGGCCCACACTCTCTGCAAGAGTGTCCCTGCAAGTCATTGGGTCTTATTTCCCTCATTTATCACATGAGGACCTCTCATCTTAGCAATTCTAGGTTTTGCTGGTTTTCTTCTTTGTACCAAGATCTGACTGACCACAGAAGTATCTCAAATGGTAATATCCACCCGGGGGAATTTTGACAGGAGAATAAATGCCTGAGCCTGTGTGACCTGAAGGAATGTCTCGCACTTTTGGACTAAGTGACCAAACCCTCAGAGCTCAGGGAGCCCATGCAGCAGCTGTGGCCTTTGGTTGTATTTTGGGGCACATGCACCTGTGTGTTATAGGTGAGGGTTGTAAGGATCCTGCCTCCGGTCCCTGAGAGTTCCTGCCCTGATCCACTCCAGAGGTGGGGCTACTAGGGCCTAATTGGAAATTGTCAGGATGAGACTGCAACTGCTTATTCCAGCAACTAAACTCATTGCTGTTGAGTCAATTCCAATTGAAATAGGAATTGTAAGGACCTAACAAGGATGAAAGGAGCTCTGGTGGTGTAGAGCTAAGGCATTTAACTGCTAACCAGAAGGTTGGCAGTTCAAGCCTACCAGCCACTCTGCAGAAGGAAGACAGGGCAATCTACTTCCCTAAAGATTTACCACCTTGGGAACCCAAAGGGGATCACTATGAGTCAGAATCAACTCCATGGCAGTGAGTTTGTTTTTTGTTTTTTGGGTTTTTTTAACAAGGATAAAAACCAGTAAAACAGTTGCTCTCTAGTCAATTTCAACTCATGGAGACACCATGTTTTCAGAGGACACTGCTCCATAGAATTTTCAATGGTTGATTTTTTCAGAAATTGATCATCAGGCCTTTTTTCCAGTGTGCTGCTGGGTGGACTCAGACCTCCAGCCTTTCAGTTAGTAGTCAAGTGTGTTAATTATTTGAGCTACATGGGGACTTCAACTAACAAGGATCGTTTAGGAAACTCCAGGAGATCCTTTTGCCTAGCAACTCATGACGTCACAGACACAGCTCATTCTTACTGGCTTCTAAGACCTCCACACTTTCCGAGCCAAAACCCAGCCCAAAGGAGTTATTTTGGAAGGGGAAAGAAGCAGAAACTCTAAGTAGGGGGAGAAGGGAACTGGACCAGAGGGAAAAGCAAATTCCACTTCTTAGCTTTCCTAAGGGACAGGGGTGGCCTGGCCTAGCCTTTAAAGGTGGTGAAAAGTCCACCCAGGTCTAAAGTCTTTCTGGCTCCCAGTTCTAGTCCTAGTGCTACCCCTCACTGTGAACTTGGGGAAGTTCCTGCCCCTCTCTGGAGTTCAGTTTCTCATAAACCCTAAGAGTTTAGAAGAAGCCCTGGTGGCACAGTAATTAGGCACTTGGCCATTAGTCGAGAGGTCAGCAGTTCAAATACACTAGCCACTCTTTGGGTGAAAGATGTGACAATCTACTTCCTTAAAGCTTACAGCCTTGGGAACCCTATGAGGGCAGTTCTACTCTGTCTTGTCAAGTAACTCTGAGTTGGAATTGACCCAACAGCAATGTAAAGAATTTAGGGATCATTATAGAAGACCATTCCTACATTGGAATCCGGGCTCTGCCACTTCCTTAGCTATGGGACCATGGACAAGAGGTTAAGAGCACCTAGTCACAGGATTTATATTAAATACAATAATAAGTGTAAAGCTCTTAGCTCTGTACCTAGCACACACTTAGCACTTCATAAATAATACTTATTACTACTCTCAAGAGTTAATAGCTAACTTTAGCATCTGGCTTCCTTCCTATTTATGCATCTTCAATTCCTGTCCCCCTGCCCTGGAAGAGTGCCAAACCTTGTCACCACCTCCCTTTATTTCCTCCTTTCCACTTCCTCCTTGAATAAATAATTAGTCAAAGTCAGGAGCCAACCAGAACTAGCCAGAATTGTGACAAAAATGTTGCCAGGCAGAAGTGCTCATAGAAGGGTCCAAATAGGCTCAAACTTGGAATGGCCTGAGCACACAGCGTCAGGCTGGTTTTGGAAGGAGTAACTGCACTAATGTGAAAACTAGACGGGAATTTGGCAAGGGGACATCCTTTTTCAACACTGAGCCCACCCTGGTTCTGAAACTGCAGAACCTCCCCATTCTGCAAATTGTAAGCAAATTCATGCTGGAGCTCAGAGTATCCTGGGTTCAAATCCTGTCTGACATTCACTTGATTACTTGGGTAAGTCATTTACCAATAAGAACCTCAATTTCCTCTTTTGTAAAAATGGGAAAATACAAGCACCCTACTCCTAGGGTCATAGGAGTTCTGGTGGTGCAGTGGCTAAGACATTCAACTGTTATCCCAAAGTCAATAATTCAAACCCACCAGCTGCTCTGCAGAAAAAAGATGAGGCAGCCTGCTTCAGACTTACAGCCTTGGAAACCCAGTGGGGGTCGCTGTGAGTCAGAATCGACTCAATGGCAGGGAGTCTGGTTTGATTTTGGTACTCCTAGGGTTACTGTCATCAGGTTACTCTAAAGATTAGGATTGTGCTTTAACATTGAGGTGTCACCATAAAACTAATAATAATAATAATAATAAAAACCAAACCTACTCCCATCAAGTCGATTCTGACTCACAGAGACCCTCTTTAGGTTTCCAAGGTGGTAGATTACAGAAATAGATTGCCTGGTTTTCCTTCCGTGGAGTGGCTGGTGGATTTGAATCATCAACTTCTGGTTAGCAGTAAAGTGCCTTAGGCACCACCCCACCAGAGCTCCTTATGTTAATAATATACCTTATTATTATAATATAGAGCTCCTTATTTTAGTAACATACTTTATTATAATAATATAAAGCTCCTTATTTTAATAATATACTTTATTATTACAATATAAAGGAGCTCTGGTGGCACAGTACCTAAGGCACCTGACTGCTAAGCAGAAGGTTGGCGGTTCAAATCCACCAGCCACTCCATGTTAGGAAAACTGGGCAATATACTTCCATAAAGATGTACTGCCTCAGAAACCTAAAGGGGATCACTATGAGCCAGAATTGACTCAATGGCAGTGGGTTTGGTTTGGTATATTATTAAAGTAAAATTTAAAAAACATATATTATTATAATAATAAAGTCATTTTATAATAATAAAGTCACTAATAGTGAGTAAGAAGCTCTGGTAGCATAGTGCCTAAGGCACTTGACTGCTAACCAGAAGGCTGGAGGTTCAAACCCACCAGCCACTCCTTGGAAGGAAGGTTGGGCAATCCTACTTCCGTAGTGATACTGCCTCAGAAACCCAAGGAGGGGTCGCTATGAGTCGGGGTCGACTCGACGGCACATAACAACAACAACAATAGTGAGTGAGGACTTATCATGTACTAGATCCACAGTGAAGAGTACTAGGATGGCCATCATCATGATCATTATTATTATAACTGAGACCCAGAGAGAGGCAGTGATTTATCCAAGGTCACATGTGACTATAGCAGAACCTGGGGTTTTCAGAGGCTGCTGCTCTAATGGTCTGTATCCGGTTACTTGATTCCCCAGAACCCAGCTCCTGAGGACATCTCTGAGCATCTCTTCCAAATCTTTCTGCCTGGCAACAGCTGACATCACATGTGTTTGGATGTCCTCATAGATCACAGATAACTTTTCAAAGGTAGAGGAGGTGGGGAGCTGAGGTCACTGCACTCTCTCTGCCCCTCCCCCCTTTTCAGGGAAGCACATGGGTAAAGCTTTATTGGGGCTAGGAGAGGAGTCCTGGGGGCTTGTGGATGGCTATGATTGCCTCTTGCTGCAAAGGAGAGGGGCACAGCCCATGTCAACCCTGGGCTCCTTCCAGAAGTTTAGCCAGAGCCTCTCTCTCCTTTGTGGACCCCCTCCCATCTCTCCATCCCTCCTGTGATTGCAGGCATCTTCGTCTATACTACAGACACTTATAGCTATAAACCAAAAAAACCAAACTCACTGCCGTCGAGTCAGATCCAACTCATAGCGACCCCTCCTTGGGTTTCCGAGGTGCTATCACTATGTAAGTAGATTGGCCAACTTTCCTTCCACAGAGTGGCTGGTGGGTTTGAAACACCAGCCTTCTGGTTATCAGTCAAATGCCTTAGGTACTAAGCCACCAGAGCTCCCACTTGCACATATAGTTCCCTTGATACTAACATGTATGCCATACATGGTAATCAAGAGAAAACTTCTCTATGATGAGCTGCTTTTGCCATGCTCTTTGAAAAACTCTTTCTCCTTCTGAGAGTCATAGCGTTTTCAAAATCCAATCCAAAGTTTCTAACCTAATTCCTGGCCCAGCTTTGATGGGAGGAGGAGGGTCTGCAAAGTCCCTGGCATTGTCTGCAACATTGTGTGAAACTGTCCTTTTGTCTAGGGAGAGAGTCCAGGGCTCTCTTCTGAATTTCAGAAGGGAGGTGCGTACTGCAAAGAAGATCCCAAACCCCTGCTGTAGAGGAACCCTCTCATTTTACAGGAGGAACCGAGGCCAAGGGTAGGCTGAGACTTGCTCAAAGTTACCCAGAAAGTCAATGGTAGAGGCACCTCCTGAATCCACCCCTTCTTTGACTCCCAGTCCTGTGTTCCTATGGGGCACCTGCACACCTGTGCAGTTGGGGCCTCTCTTGTGTGTGCTCTCTCCTGTGCTCACACCTACCTCTCAGTGCCTCGGGGGCGCTGGCTCAGTATGGGCAACTGCTCATGGTTGGAAATGAGGTCACGCTGGTCTTCCATGGTCCTGGCCCCTGGTCTTCTCTGCGGCTCCTGCTCCAGTTCCTGCTGCTGCTGCCACTGCCTGTGTCTGAGACCCTAAACCTCCGGCTCACCTCTTGAAGCTGGTACTGAGGAGGAATCTGATTGGTTCACAGGACACTACTCCACCCACCTGGGAGAAGTGGAAGTGAAAGCCACAAAGCTGGAAATACCCTGCTTGGGCAAAGATACGTTCATGGGGCAGGCTGGGGAGGAGGGCTCCTCAGGCAAGTGGAAAGGCCAGCACCCTTCCATTGGCTCCCAGGACCCTCATCACTTGTTTCTAGGCAGACCTCTGAATTCACAAGGCTCTTTGGATGGTTCAAGAAACAGGCAAATGTCTACTCTCTAAACAGGAAATCAGTTTGAAGTAGAACATGCCTTTGTTTGTCTCCCCTTCTCACCTATAAATGAATTGGTACAGAAAGGGGCTGTTCACCCCTGTGTGAACTTAGCAAGTCATTTATTCTCTGGCTTCAGTTATGTCATCTCAAAAATGGGATAGGAGGGAAGGTTGGGTTCAGTGTTCCCTCTGTGCCCTTTGAACTTGAAATTTCATGAACTTAAGAGGCCATGGTTCTAAGTTGTGGTCCTAATAATCACCACCACTTATTAAGCCCTCCTTTGTGCCAGGCACTGTTCTAATTGCTTGACATGGTTTATTTCATGTAATGTTTACAGTGACCCTTTGAGGAGTGTTGTATTTCATTATCTCCATTACAGTTAGAGACATTAAGTTTTGAGATGCTACTTGCCCAGAAAATGGTAGAGCCCATGTTTGACCACTTGACCCTTCTGCCTCTCTAGTGCTCAAATTGTGGGGTTAGAATTCAGAAGCATGAGTGAGGGTCTCTGCAAGGGAACATGGGATGGACAGGAGGAAGGTGCCTAGGGAGATTTATCTGTGTTGGCAAGGTTTTGTTTCTTAATATCCATGGCTTGTATACCATATCTGTTTTACTAATCTTTGGCTCTTATGTGTTTTTAAATTAGCATTAGTAGTTTGTTTGTTTGTCATTTAAAGACTGTGGTTCTAAGATTCCATAAGTCTTGGATTTAGAGAGTCAAGGTTAAGGTTGCATAACATAGTGAGTGTAATTGTTGTTGTTGTTATGTGCCGTGGAGTCGACCCGACTCATAGCGACCCCTCCTTGGGTTTCCGAGGCAGTATCACAATGGAAGTAGATTGCCCCATCTTCCTTCCGAGGAGTGGCTGGTGGGTTTGAACCGCCAGCCTTCTGGTTAGCAGTGAAGTGCCTTAGCCACTACGCTACCAGAGCTCCCAGTGAGTGTAATTAATGTAACTGAATTGTTCACTTCAAAATGGTTAAAATGGAAAGGTCCCTGGATGGTACAGTCTGTCTGCACTTGGCTAGTACCTGTTCCAATAGGCTTCCTGTTCAAACCCACTCAACGGTACAGCAGAAGATCCAGGCCTGGCAAACAGCTTTTGTAAAGATTTCAGTCAACTCAACTCCGTAGAGTATGGAGTTTCTCCAAATGAATACATAAGCAAACAAATGCCTCAAAAATGGTTTAAATGGAAAACATTTTTGCTATCTATATATTTTACTACAATAATAATTTTTTTAAAGCATCAAGGGAGATAGTAGTTGTATTTTCAGGGAAAAGAAGAGTGGCTATGGGCTTTGATGTAGATTCTGAATTCAGATTCCAGGTCAGGAACATCCTAGCTGTGTGACCTAAGCCAGTCCCTCAACATTTCTGAACTTGTTTTTTCTGTAAAGTGAGGAGAATAAACACTAGGCTCACAGGGTTGTTAGACTAGGTAAGTGCTTACCACAGAGCCTGGCATATAGTGGATGTTCAAGAAGTGACACTGTTTACTGGTAAGATATTTTCTGAATAATCAAGACAAATAAAATAATATACCCACACAAAAACTTGCACACGAATGTCCATAGCAGCTTTATTAGTAATACCCAACAGCCCCATCAACAGGGGCAAGGATAAACAAACTGCAGTTCATCCATCCAGTGGTATATTACTCAGAAGTAAAAAGGAGCGAACTATATTGATTTCCACAATAACCTGATGAATCTTAAAACAATTATGTTGTGTAAAATAGGCAGAAAAAACAAAAGAATATGCACTGTGTGATTCCATTTATATAAAATTCTTGGAAATACAAACTAATTCACAGTGACAGAAAACAGATGTGTGATTGCTTACGGTGGGGAGGCAGGAGTAAGTGATTGCAAAAAGGCACAAGGAAACTTTTGGTGGTTTTGTTTATTATTGTGGTGATGGTTTCATGGAAGGATGTATATGCCAAAATTTATCAAATTGAACACTTTACATATATACCGTTTATACTTCAATAAAGCTGTTAAAAATAAAAATATGAGAATTTCTTTAAAGATTTCTTAAAACACCAATAACAAAGAAAAATAAATTGTGCTTCAAAGGACACTGTCAAGAAAAGTGAAAAGGTAAGCAAAAAATTTGGAAAACGTTGCAAATTATATATCTGGTAAAGATCTATTGTTGTTGTTGTTGTTGTTATGTGCTGTCAAGTCAGACCCAACTCACAGCGACCCCTCCTTGGGTTTCCGAGTCAGTATCACTATGGAAGTAGATTGCCTAACCTTCCTTCCGAGGAGTGCCCAGTGGGTTTGAACCGCCAGCCTTCTGGTTAGCAGTCAAGTGCCTTAGGCACTACACCACCAGAGCTCCTGATAAAGTTGTAGCATCCAGAATATATAACCAAAAAAAAAAAAAAAAAAACCCACCAAACTACTGCCATCAAGTCGATTCAACTCATAGTGATCCCGTCTTGAGTTTCCAAGGTGGTATCTCTATGGAAGTTGATTGCCCAATTTTTCTTCCAAGGAGCGGCTGGTGGGTTTGAACTGCCAGCCTTCTGGTATGCAGTAAAATGCCTTAGGCTCTATGCCACCAGAGCTCCCAGAATATATAAAGAACTCTTACCACTCAACAACAAAAAGACAAACAACCTGTCTTAGTTATCTAGTGTTGCTATAACAGAAATCCAACAAGAGGATGGCTTTAAAAACAGTAATTTATTCTCTCATAGTTTAGGAGGCTAGAAGTCCAAATTTAAGTGCCAGCTCTAGGGGAAGTCTTTCTCTCTCTGTTGACTCTGGGGAAATATTTTGTCTCCTTTCAGCATCTGTGGACTCAGTGTCACTTGGAGATCTCTACGTGTCTTGGCATCAATCTTTCCCTGGGCCCAGGAGATTCTCAGCATAGAGACCCCTGGATCCAAAGGACACATTTGCTCCTGGCTCTTCTTTCTTGGTGGTTGTCAGGTCTGCTTCTCTCTCCTTTTATCCACTTGTAAGATAAAAGGTGCTGCAGACCACACCCCAGGGAAACTCCACTTACATCAGATCAGAGTTGTGTCCTGAGTAACAGTGTGGCATCCTGACCTAATCCCTTTACAACTGATTGGCTGATTGTATCAGATCACATCATGGGGAATGATTACATCATTACTGAGAATCATGGCTTAGCCAAGTTGACACATTTTGGGGAACACAATTCAATCCATGATACAACTCAATTAAAATACGGACAAAATATCTAAATAAATATTTTCCCAAAGAAGATATGCACACCACCAGCCTTCTGGTCAGCAGTCAAATGCCTTAGGCACTATGCCACCAGAGCTCCTAAATGGTCAATAAGCACATGAAAAGATGCTCAAAATCATTAGCCCTTAGGAAAATGCAAATCAAAATCACAATGAGGTACCACTTTACCACCACTGTTTTTGTTAGGTGCCACCAAGTTGGTTCTGACTCTAGTGACACTATGTACAACAGAATGAAACATTGCCTAGTCCTGCACCATCCTCACAATCATTGCCATGCTTTAGCCCATCATCTCAAACTCAAGCATAGTGGCTAAGGCACTTGACTGCTAACCAGAAGGCTGGCGGTTCCACCAGCCACTCCTCGGAAGGAAGATGGGGCAATCTACTTCCGTAGTGATACTGCCTCGGAAACCCAAGGAGGGGTCGCTATGAGTCGGAGCCAACTCGATGGCACATAACAACAACAACAACAACAACTCAAACTCAAAACTCAATGCCATTGAGTCAGATCTGACTGATAGTGACCCCTCCTTGGGATTCCAAGGCAGGATCACTACAGAAGTAGATTACTCTGTTTTCCTTCCAAAGCCCATCATCTAGGATGACTATAATAAAAAAGACAGACAATAACAAGTGTTGGCAAGGATATAGATAAATTAGAACCTTCATATATGTATATTTTTGGTGAGAATGTAGAATGATGCAGGTGCCGTGGATAATAGTTTGGCAGTTCCTTAAATGGTTAAACATAGAGTTACCATATGACTCAAGCATTTCACCCCAAGAAAATTGAAAGCGTATTTTGACACAAAAATTTGTACACCTATATGTTCATAGCATTGTAGCCCAAAAGTGGAAACAATCCAAATGTCCATCAATAGATGAATGGATAAACAAGATGTGGTATATCTATAAAATGAAATATTATTCAGCAATATAAAGGAATGAAGTATATCATAAAGCTGTTATTTTTAAAAGAAAAAAAAGAATGAAGTATTGATTCATACCATGAAAACATTATGCTAAGTGAAAGAAGCCAGACACTAAAGGTCATATATTGTATGATTCTATTTATATGACATATTCAGAATAGGAAAATCTATAGAGAAAGAAAGTAGATTAGTAGTTGTCATGAGGTAGTGAGGGGGGAAGTGGAAAGTGACTGCTAATGGGCATCGGATTCCTTCCTGGGTGATGAAATGTTCTGTGATTAGATAGTGATGGTGGTTACACAACTTTGTAAATATACTAAAAAATAAAAAACACAATGAATTGTACAATTTCAAAAGGGTAGATATTAGATATTAAGTCATGTGAGTTATATCAATTTTTCAAAAAAAGATTTCTTGGTAATGATGAATAGAGGACATATTTGCTTTTGCTTCCTTTCCAAACCCCACTA